GGCGTTCGGTTAAATGCGAAACTGAAGATGCTACACGTTCCCAATTACTGCAAAACGCTAAAACTGAAAGAGTACTGGTGTTAGAAACGCTGGCCTTAAGTGTGAATCTACAACACATTCGCAATCGCACAAACGTAAACAAAACAAAACATGCTACAAGAGAAAAAAATGAAAATTAGTACGTAACTACACTCGTCTCTTAAATTTCTTAAAATAAATAAATGAAGATTGCACTGTAATTGGCATGTTTAAAGTACTGTTTGCAGTATAAAGTATAAATAAATCTAAAGTGTAGACTGATACTGTACTTTTCCATTAACTTTGGCAAAAGTATTTCTGAGCTAGTAAACGATTTTTGCTTACGGACACAAAGGCACAGCTTAGGCGACGAGAAACAATTAAAAAATGCGTAAACGCGTAGTAAAACGGTAGATGACAGAAAGAAGCTGCAGCGATTTTTCTGTTTTTTAATATATATAATAATGTTTCTTTTGATTCGAGTGTTCGCAGCACAGAACATAAACATAAGAGTATTTATTTCTTCACCTCTAGAAAGTTCACGTCCCTGAGGTACAATACAGGCTTGTCGATCAGGGCCAAAAGGGGCGGGGCTTTTTTTATCTGAATCACTAAAACCACACCCCCTCACGCCCTCTTGCTTTTATTTCCCCCTTACAAAAAGAAAACAAAGAAAAACAACATTGAAAGTCTCTTTGGATCAAGTGATCTGCTGGTTTTTGTACCCTTTCTTGGCTGTAGATGCATTAAAAGTGCCCTTCTTTTAATCCCAGGGCGTTTTGGCGTTTCCTCTGATCTCTGCTGTCGCTTTGAAAAGCACCTTTTACGCACTTTCGCTGGCTCCTTCCTGGCTTTTTCGCACCGGACCAGAGAGGAGAGGTCAGGGAAAGCGAAAGGCGGAGGAATAACGAAAGGCATCGGAAAGGTTTCTGAGGCTGTGAGGTCGTTGAAGTGTTTCACAGAGTGATTCCATAACGCTTTTGTTTCTTTTGTAGTTATTTTTTATCCGTTTCGCTGCACATCGGCAGAGCAGAACCTCCAGAACCCACAGCGGACCTCTGAGGTTGTGCCATCATTCTGTGACCGCCGTCACGCCCGTATAAGGAATTCCAGGTCTGAGCTGTTTATCTCTATGGGGAAAAATGAACGGAGTCTTTGAAAACTGCAGCTTTCTCACCCTGCAGGAAACAAAAACGTTCCAAAACCGAAACATTTTATCCTGCATACAGTTCCCACCAAATGTCACTAAAAGTGTGTAATTTTTCGTTTATTTCTATTTAAAATAATCATCTTTCTTGTTACAGTTGAACTCTGTATCACAATAATATGCTCTTGGTTTGAAGCCAAAACGTTAAAATCTTGAAAGATCCAGTTAAAACTGTCCAATCAGGATTGTTCTCTTTGTGGTATCTAGCCAGATACAGCTGAGCTGCTCTCCCATTGGTTAGGACTTCAGGAGCTGGACTGAAGGCCTTACACGTTAAATTAACTACCAACATAATTGTTGGTGACAGAGCAATCAACCAATCATGCTTTGATTTACAATGGCACTAAAAAACATCACTCTAGTCCTTCAGGAAGTTCTAGATATGTCCCTGACTGTGAATACAAGCCGTAGTCTAAGCAGGTTCTGGTTAGTTGACTGCTGTAGGCTAAATGGGTGGCGCTAAACTGCTGTAGGCTGAATGGGTGGAGCTAAACTGCTGTAGGCTGAATGGGTGGAGCTAAACTGCTGTAGGCTGAATGGGTGGGGCTAAACTGCTGTAGGCTGAATGGTGGAGCTAAACTGCTGTAGCTGAATGGGTGGAGCTAAACTGCTGTAGGCTGAATGGGTGGAGCTAAACTGCTGTAGGCTGAATGGGTGGAGCTAAACTGCTGTAGGCTGAATGGGTGGGGCTAAACTGCTGTAGCTGAATGGTGGAGCTAAACTGCTGTTGCTGAATGGGTGGAGCTAAACTGCTGTAGGCTGAATGGGTGGAGCTAAACTGCTGTAGGCTGAATGGGTGGAGCTAAACTGCTGTAGGCTGAATGGGTGGAGCTAAACTGCTGTAGGCTAAATGGGTGGGGCTAAACTGCTGTAGGCTGAATGGGTGGGGCTAAACTGCTGTAGCTGAATGGTGGGGCTAAACTGCTGTAGGCTGAATGGTGGGGCTAAACTGCTGTAGGTGAGGCTATACGTCTGTAGGCTGGACGGGTGGAGCTAAACTGCTGTAGACTGAATGGGTGGGGCTAAACTGATGTAGGTGGAGCTATATGTCTGTAGGCTCGATGGGTGGAGCTATTCGTCTGTAGGCTGGATGGGCGGAGATATACGTCTGTAGGCTGGATGGGTGGAGCTATACGTCTATAGGCTGGACGGGAGGAGCTAAATTGTCCTCAAATAATGTCTTTTATTAAATTTAATCCAGAAAGGTTTTGGTTTTGAAGTAACTGGAACTGTACATGTAATTAGTTACTCCCCACCTCTGTTAACGACCTCGTTATCCAATCACACAGCGATATTTGGAGGGAAGTGCATTACCAAGCATATCAGCTCTGGAACTCGTCAGTTTACCGCAGGGTGTGATAGCGTCATTAACTTTCCCCACAGATTATACTGGCTTAAATCCAGCACTCGTCTGTACGCTAACAGTGAACTAACGAGATGACCTCAGGGGTCCGTTACTGACCACAGATCCAAAAAAATAAAAGCACCATAAATTGTGAGCTCCAGAAAAGACGTCTAGGTCGTTTATATTACATAACCTCTATAGAATCTTACAGATTTTCATATACACAAATATATATACTGAATATACTCTTTTGTTTCATTTTAGGAAAAAAAAATAAACATACAGAATAGCAGCATCACTTAAACCACACGTGGGTCGCAGCTGGCTCTGGCCGCTCGACGCAGGGCCTTTCAGACCAGCCGCACGATTGACCTGTGATTTAGTGTTTACGCAGACAGCTGTTTACTAATAGACTCGAAAATAAAGACAGAAAAAACAGAAAAACGATCAGGAATGAAGCGAATAACTGACGTGACTATGACGGGTACTGAGTCAAAGCTATAATGCTGATAATGTGTTTATGTCTGTGAAGAATTAAGGCTTCAAAAAAGAACAACAGAAATTAGGAAAACAATCAGAAAAATAAACACTGAAAAGAGAATAAGGCCATCAGAGTAGATACAACATAAACATACAGACATACGACAACATGCAAAAACCACCCATCATGTGACTTTGCTTTTTTTTTAGATTTTTTTGTTTTCACCTCCAACAGGAAAATCCACACAAACCAGCAGAGAGAGAGAGAGAGAGCGAGTGAGAAAGAGAGAGTGAGAGAGAGATAGCGCCTTTACCACCCATCAAAAGTTTGGGGACACCCATCTTTTCATTAGGCCTCGTTTTCTAACCGTTCTTAAGTAGAAATGTCTTCTTACGCAGTTTTGACGAAGACTGTGTCATTCACCGATGTTCTCTTATGTGGGATTTGTTCTTAGGTAAGAACAGAAACTACACACTCAAGAGCACAAAGGTGAGAACGGTTCTGCGCTTTAAGAACACATCATAAATCTGATGCAGACTTTTTCTTAGGATCTTTCTCAAGAACACACTTAAGAACAGACTTAAGGAGATATTGGAGAACGAGGCCTGATGTTTTTAATATGAATGGTCATGTTTCCTTTGTCGGTTTGCAATAACTGACCGTATTAACTCTAGAACAGCTTTCTGTAATGGTCATCGGGGTCATTTTAACCCTAAGAGAACGGCTTCTGGAATCTAATCCAGGAGCAAGACGGACACCTCGAGTTACATCATTCAGTTAGAAAATCAAATTAATTACTTTCAGATAAGAACAAAACGGTCAGTAGGTCATTAAAGCCGTGTTTCTGTTGCACACTGACAGCTTCTTACGCTACTATGCAGTGAAATTCTGTCAGCCAAACAGTTTAAATGACCAACGCAGGAATCAGAAGAAACATTATTAACACTTCCTATGAATCCTGTATTCACAATGCTTTATAAACGCATTTATAAGGTGTAATATGACATGCATAATGCCTCGTAATGCCTGGCATAAGCCTGCTAATAAATACACTGTTAAAAATATGGTTCTTCAAAAGTTCTTTAGTGAAGTCAATGGTTCTATTTAGAACTATGAGTTCTATAAAGGACCATCTGCATGCTTAAATCCTTTGCATGGTGTATTGGTTCTTCAGATTGATGGAGAATGTGTTGCATATGGTTCTATATAGAACCTTTTTGAAAATGGTTCTATATAGAAACAAAAAGTGTTCTGCCGTTGTTACAAAGTCAATCTGAAAAAGAACCTTTTTGGTGCTATACAGAACCATATAAAAGATGTTCTCAATCAATATGAAGAACCATTTCGCCATGCAGGAAACTACTTAAGCATGAAATAGTTCTAAATAAAACAGTTCTAAATAGAACCATTACCAACATATGGGTGTTCTGCATGTAATTATAACACCTTTAAAAAAATGGTTCTTCAAAGGTTCTTTAGTAAAGACAGTGCTTCTATTTAGAACCACCAACACTCAAAGAACCATTTGCATACTTAAATGGTTCTTTGCATGGTGAAATGGTTCTGCAGACTGATGGAAAATGTGTTTTTATCTAGGGTTCTATACAGCACCAAAAGAGTTCTTCTATTGTTACAGTGCCAAGCAAGTAAAAGCACACGAACCTTTTTTGGTCCCATATAAAAGCCTTTTCAAAAAGGTTCTATATAGAGTCATATACAACACACTTTCCATCAGTCTGAAGAACCAATTCAGTTTGCAAAGGACCAATTAAGCATGATTTATATATATATATATATATATATATATATATATATATATATATATATATATATATATATGTATGTTTATATATATATATATATATATGTTTATATATATATATATATATATATATATATATATATATATATATATATATGCAAACCTATGACTGGTATTATAAGGTATTTGTATGCCATATAATGCCTTATAAATGTGTTTATAAAGCATCAACAATACATCAGCGGCGCATCAGAGTCGTGCGCACAGTGTAGCCGTACGTGGTTTGAATATAATATCGCTAATGTTCAACTCTTCCACTAGAAACTACCTTCATCACATGGAGCTCCACCATCTTCAGCTCCGCCCTCTCTCAGTGTCGCTGCTCAGGCGTTCGCCCTCCAGGTACGGCGCCCTGTTCACCATATTTACAGCCAGAGGTTTGGACTGAACCTGATTTGGTTTTAATATCCAATCAATTCCACTGAGCTGCTGCTGTTTGTTATACTCTGGACTGCACTGCAAACTATCCGACAGATATTTTCAAGAAGACGACTGGATGAGCACTGCTAAAACAGACTCGCTGGAATGGCAGAGAAAAATAATGTAATATTGATCTCATATTGACGTCAGGACTAATTTAGTAGGAGTCACTTTATCTACATTGTCGCGTCTCAGAATTTGAAAATGGTCCATCTCAGCTTTTCTAGTTTTAAAGCCAGTTACAGTCAGTGTTCACAGGGCTACACGAGATTATGATGACCGACACTGACCTACATAACGTCCCATTCCAAAAAAGAAGACAAGTATTTCCATTTTCTTGGGATTTTTAATTTTTTGCAAGATTTGAGCTCAGCAGCTCCTTCACGATGATTGGACCAACAGAAATGCTCCAAAACTGCTTCTAAAAAAATCTCTTTACATTGACTTACACTGTAAGGAAAGAACGTTTTTGAGCTGTTAAGCTACTACTTTGGAGGTACTTGTTTTTCTCTGGACAGTGATAATAAACATTTATAAGGGTTTTATAAACCTGTCAGGTGATGCTGAAAAACAGCAACACATATTGTATCACTAAGTTATGCCCCTAGTGCTTATAACAGTGATTACATCTCATTTCACCCCAGAAAGTGTCATGACATTCCAATGTCACCTGATATAGACAATCAAACACAACCTTACGACAGACGATGGCTGCTGTAATAAGTGTTAATAAACGTTTATGTTCTTCAAGGGTCCCATGAGTTCTATATAGAACCATTTCATGCTTCAGAGGTTCTTTGCATGGTGAAAGTGTTCTTCAGATTGATGAAGAATGTGTCGTATGTGGTTCTATATAGCACCAAAAGGGTTCTGCTGTTAGGATGTTAAGCTTGTAACAATAGCAAAACCCATTTTAGCGCCGAACAAAACAATAAACAACACGTTCTCCATTAATCTGAAGAACCATTTAAGCACGCAAATGGTTTATACACAACTCATGGTTCTAAAAGAACCACTGCTTCCACTAAAGAACCCTTGAAGAACTTTTTTAAGTGTGTAGGCACTGTGGCGTTACGAACACAGCCCTGCAGTAAAATGTTACAGCCTAATCGGTTTATTTAGGAGAAAACGTCATCACACGTAAATATTTGTGACAGTAATTGTTAAAATATACTGTACATTTTTCAAAAATGTTCCTTTATTAGCTAAAACTGCTGCACGTATGTTCTTTATGTAACCCAGAGCCTGACCGGTACAGTATGTGGTCACTAAAGTCGGTGACGACGTGTAAAAAATTGTGACCTTCATAACGCACAATAAACACAAGCTAATTAACTGAAAGTAGTGAAAACACCACCAATGAAGCACCAATATTAATAAAAACAAGGGTCCCACTTCATACTGTGTCTCTAATAACTGTGTAGTTACATGTGAACAACATATGCAATAACAATGTAACTACTAATGATTTAGTCACTGTTAAAGATGGATTACATAAGTACATCTTATGTAATTACACACGTGTATCAACTTCAGTTTTGCCTCGTGTAATTACACAAGTATATCTTGATAGCGGCAACAGACTATTCTCTCTCAAGTAGTTACACAAGGGTAATAACACATCAGTAATCAGACTGGAACAGCAGTTTTTTTAGATGTTTTTTCCAGCAGTAAAAGGAAGTATGTAATAATGTACATTAAGACATTACTTACACTGTATCTGCCAGCTTTCCTGACTTTTAGCCAGCATTTATGTTGCTACTGCTGTGATACTGTAACCATTTTCAGCTTTAAACCATTCTGTAATGTGACAGTACAGCAGATGTCCCCTTATCTTAACATGTAATTTTAATGACATTAATTAAATGTGTTGCATTACCACCAAAGCAGTGTCTATATTACCACTCCATTATTACACAGTACCTACATAATAACTACACAGGAACTGTCCACTTATTTTGAAGTGTAACTTTAACACTACACTACAGGAAAGTTCCTGTGTAGAAGATACAGTTGCGTAAATACATGAGGCAAAACTGAGGTTGATACACATGTGTAATTACATAGGCTGTACTTCTGTAATCCATCTGTAACCGTGACTAAATCAGTAGTTAGTGTTGTTGCATATGTTATTCATGTGTAATTACACAGTTATTAGAGACACAATATAAAGTGGGACCAAAACAAGTAATACAGATTGATCGGGTGACTCTAAACAACAGATGTGAAATATATCCAAACCTAAACTCCAGCATGAGAAACAAATTTTCTGTAGACAAAAAAATCTGGACAAATAAATTCAAACCCCCCTATAGAAATCAGTGAAGCTCCGCCCCCAGAGCTGCAGTGTGTATAATTTAAGGCTGTGTTTCATGTATCAGTTGTATGAGTCAGTAAAGCTCTGTTTCACTAAAGCTACTGCAGCCTGACCACTTCTGACCAAAACAATATCAGTGATTTTATCATTTTGGGAATTTTTAGCTGCTTGAAATCAGGAACAGTCACAAAATGTCCATCTCAATATGAACAGTTTCATTCCTAATGGCATAAATTAAAACTGTGCAGCAGTTTCATCTGCTATGCATTGTTTTTTTTATTTTATATATTTTTTTTTTGCTTAATTTTTAAGTTTTTAATACTTTTCAAAGTTATTTTTTTGAAAATAAGGGGAGATACTCCTTTAATAGAGTTTACTGGGTTCATTTGTTAAGTTACTGCAAACCGGTAAAGAAAAAAACTCACTCATTTTGACTTAAGCGATTCTGAAAAGCTGTTAAGTGTCCCTGAACTGAACGTATTCGGACAGTAATGTAAGACGCGTATCATCTGCTGTGTGGATTTTGTCTCGTTCCCACCCCGACCCCCCACACCCACCCCGCCACTCCCCGGCTCACTTCATGAATAAATATTCCACCATGAAGGCGATGATGAAGGACAGTGCGCTGAACGCTCCCACCAGCAGGGCGGCGACTCGCTCGTCCGTGCCAGCGAGGCCTGCTGCTTTGCCCGTCCGGACAGTGGGCGTGTCCCTGGGGACCGGTAGCTCCACCCGCCGGAGTGTAAAGGGCGTGGGGGGGCTCAGGGGTCCGCACAACTCCTGAGTGCTGTCCACACACCGCCGACACACGGCAACACGGAAACGGTAATCTGTATTAGACTGAAGACCAGAGATCTGGAACACTGTAGAGTCACCTTTATAGACCTAGAGAGAGAGAGAGAGAGAGAGAGAGAGACAGAGAGAGAGAGAGAGAGAGAGAGAGAGAGAGAGATTAAAACTCATTGCTCTGTTCATGGGGCATGCCAACTTTTGCACACAACTGCATATCAGGTATTCCAGACCATCAGGCCCTCTCATAAACCGAGTCTGTTCTACAGTTTCTCATTAGGCTGAATGAATAACTGACTCTAAATGTAGGTATTGTGATATAAACTGAGTCTGTTCTACAGTTTCTCATTAGGCTGAATGAATAACCGACTCTAAATGTAGGTATTGTGATATAAACCGAGTCTGTTCTACAGTTTCTCATTAGGCTGAATGAATAACTGACTCTAAATGTAGGTATTGTGATATAAACCGAGTCTGTTCTACAGTTTCTCATTAGGCTGAATGAATAACTGACTCTAAATGTAGGTATTGTGATATAAACTGAGTCTGTTCTACAGTTTCTCATTAGGCTGAATGAATAACTGACTCTAAATGTAGGTATTGTGATATAAACTGAGTCTGTTCTACAGTTTCTCATTAGGCTGAATGAATAACCGACTCTAAATGTAGGTATTGTGATATAAACCGAGTCTGTTCTACAGTTTCTCATTAGGCTGAATGAATAACCGACTCTAAATGTAGGTATTGTGATATAAACCGAGTCTGTTCTACAGTTTCTCATTAGGCTGAATGAATAACTGACTCTAAATTTAGGTATTGTGATATAAACTGAGTCTGTTCTACAGTTTCTCATTAGGCTGAATGAATAACCGACTCTAAATGTAGGTATTGTGATATAAACCGAGTCTGTTCTACAGTTTCTGTACAGTCCTCTTAAAGGAACTTAACTGAACTCAGCTGAACTCTGAAGGTGCTGATAGGTGGTTCATTTTAAAACAATTCCCGAATATTAATGAGCGTATTGGATCATAAGCTCCAAGGTGCGCAGCGTAGGCGTAACGAAGATAAACGCGCAGGAATCTGCCTGTAAATATCACTGTCCTTTCTCCCTCTGCTGCCGAGCGTGTGGAGGTGTGAAGGTGTTTAATGGAAGGGTGAAGTAGACAGGTGTCATTTGTGTTGTGAAGCGCCGCTGTCAGCGAAGCAGCAGGAAGAGACAGCGGACATTTATTAACTCTTAATGAAAGTGAGGCAGAGCAGAGAGGCCTGAGTGAGAGAGGGCGGGTAAAGCCCTCAGGGTCCTAGAGTCCAAAAGGAAGCGTATATTCCACCAATTAGCAGGAGTCCGAGTTGAGTGTCGAGTCTCAGAGGTGCAAGTCCGAGTTGAGTCTCGAGTCTCTGAGGTGCGAGTCCGAGTCTTGAGTTTCTGACGTGAGTCCGAGTCGGGTCTCTAAGGTTCAAGACCGAGTTGAGCCTTGATTCTCTGAGGTGCGAGTCCGAGTCTTGAGTTTCTGACGTGAGTCCGAGTCGGGTCTCTAAGGTTCAAGACCAAGTCGAGCCTTGATTCTCTGAGGTGTGAGTCCGAGTCTTGAGTTTCTGAGGTGAGTCCGAGTCTGAGATGCGTTTTGGGTCTCTGAGGTACAGGTCTTAGTGGAGTCTTGAATTTCTGAGGTGTGAGTCTGAGTAGAATCTAGAGTCTCAAGTCCAAGTTCAGTCTTGAGTCTCTGAGGTACGAATCTGAGGCGAGTCTTGAGTCTCCGAGGTACGAATCTGAGGCGAGTCTTGAGTCTCTGAGGTGTGAGTCTGAGTTGAGTCTCAATTCTCTGTGATTCGAGTCCAAGTTGAGTCTCAATTCTCTGAGGTGTGAGTCCGAGTTGAGTCTCAATTCTCTGAAATGTGAGTCCGAGTTGAGTCTCAATTCTTTGAGGTGCGAGTCCGAGTCTAGTCTTGAGTCTCTGAGGTGCGAGTCTGAGTTGAGTCTCAATTCTCTGTGATTCGAGTCCACGTTGAGTCTCAATTCTCTGAGGTGTCCATGCTGCTAGGCTGTTGCTATGCTATACCAGGAGGTTACTAAGGAGTTGCTTGGCCTTTGATATGCTATCCCAGGTGGTTGCTAATGTGTTGCTTGGCCTTTGATATGCTATCCCAGGTGGTTACTAATGTGTTGCTTGGCCTTTGCTATGCTATTCCAGGTGGTTACTAATGTGTTGCTTGGCCTTTGATATGCTATCCCAGGTGGTTGCTAATGTGTTGCTTAGCTGTTTTTTCCTCTGTGTGACTCTAAAATATTTGCTGATTTTAAAATAATTTCAGTGTTTTTGTAAATGTAGCTCTGCTGTTTTGCTGGTATCGCAATGTTAAGTCAGTGCCATAATTATTGGCATCTTTGGGGAAGATAAAAAAAAAGTGTTGCTAAAAGGTTTTGGCATAACTGTGAATTATGGTTTTGTTTTTTTAAAAAAAGCCCCCCAACCTTTTCATTGATCTATTAAATTACAGATAATCTGATTTCCTTCAATGAAATATTGATTAGATAAACCAAGTATTGGATGGAAACATATAGACGTTTATAAAATCACTGTTTACTGCATTAATATTATTTATATTTATGTAAAGTGAGACTAAAGTTACTTCAGTTAAAGATTAAATTTCTCAAATATCGCTCAGCCTTACTCAGGACCTTCAGCCTTGTTTTTCTGGAAAACAGCAGGATTTACTGATCTAATCACATTTTCCATGGTTTATAAGTGAACGCCTGAGTGAACGCGGCAGTAACGTCACCTGTGAAGTGAATTATGATGCTAATCGATTTCTGTCTCCTGCATAAGCATATATTCCCTCTTTACTCCGCCTTCCAACACTTCCGCTCAGGAATATATATTATTATATATTATTCATCAGGCGGCTTTAATAATAGATTTTAATAGCCAACAATAACAACATCAGATCAGCGTTAAAGGCAGAGGTGACCTCTGAGGGCTAATAAACGTGTCCTTTAGATGTGATTATGTTCGCTGTGACTCTGAAGATGATTTATGACCACAGCTCACACCACTGTCACCAACACGAGCTCTGCTTCCGAACCACAGGGACACCGACTCAGGCCAGTCACACTCATTTTCATATTCAAGTATCCACTCTGCACACGTATTGAGTAATATTAGATGTGCTGACTAATAAAGTCAATTAATATTAGGTACATCTACACTCCCTGGCCATTTTATTAGAAACCCCTCCCTTGGAGCTCCACTGTGTTAGTCGTCCTCTACTCCTTCATCAATGGTCAGTTTCTGACCACAGAGTAACTCCTGGCTGGAAATTGTATGATGACGTAGGTGTTTCCCATAAATTGGCAAGTGTGTGAAAGTAGAAGGTAGGTGTTTCTAATAAAGTGGCCAGTGAGTGGAGGCACAAGATAGGTGTTTCTAACAATGTGGCCAGTTAGTGGAAGCACAAAGTAGGTGTTTCTGATAAAGTGGCCAGTTAGTGGAAGCACAAGGTCAGTGTTTCTGATAAAGTGGCCAGTTAGTGGAAGCACAAGGTGAGTGTTTCTAATAAGTGGCAAGTTAGTGGAAGCACAAGGTGGGTGTTTCCAATAAAGTGGCCAGTTAATGGAAGCACAGGATGGGTGTTTCTAATAAAGTGGCCAGTTAGTGGAAGCACAGGATGGGTGTTTCTAATAAAGTGGCCAGTTAGTGGAAGCACAAGGTGGGTGTTTCTAATAAAGTGGCAAGTTAGTGGAAGCACAAGGTGGGTGTTTCAAATAAAGTGGCCATTTAGTGGAAGCACAAGGTCTCATCTCTAACCAGATTCACTCGTTTGTATTTGCTTCTTTACTTTGTTAAAGCTGTAAATGCTAAAACAAAAAGTTAGTTCTCTCACCTGTTTATAATCAGACTCTCTTCCAATCAGCACCTGGAGCAGGTAGCTGACTGGGTCTCCTCTCATTGGTGGAATGCTCTCCCAGGTGACTTCACACATGTTACTCTCCAGCTGAACCACTCTGGGGGCTACGAGGAGAGAAATATACTCACATTCAGGACAATCACACACGTTTAAAAATACACCGGGTTATATGCAGACATTATGACAATGTCCTTTATATTATATCATATGGCTAAAAATATGTTTTATCACTTCATTTATCATGAAATTCAGGCTTTCTGGTAACACATGAGTACTGATTTTTAACAAAACAATGGAAATCTGAGTTTAATTGTGAACAAAAGTAAGAAAATTACATATTATATGCACTGGCAGACGCCCGCTCCAGATATAACTGTACAAACTTTCCCTTCAGTCTTTCACAGAGAATAATCCAGAACCTTTTTAGCTTCAGGAGTAAAATAAAAACAATCCAGATGATCAGGTCAGTTTGAGGCATTACAGGCTCCGCAATAACACCATTCACTATTTTTCACTCTAATAATTCTGACTGATTTACTGCAACCATCCTTCTCACTGCAGTTTTTGCCCTCACTGACGGAGGAAGTAGCACTTAGAGGCGAGTCAATCATTATTTTACAAAATGGTCAGTTGTATAATAGTCAGTTGTTTAACTGATTATGAAATAATCATGAATTTTGGTCCTAATTCTGTCTTCCGAGGTCGTTCTGTGTGTATGTGTACCTTTGAGAGCAGGTGGAACAGATCTGATGGTACTGAAAGTGTGTGTGTCAGAGAAAGGTCCTTCTCCAGCGTCGCTGACGGCCTGGATCCTGAAGTTGTAGTTGCTGGACTCCACCAGCCGCTGGACCTTATACGTGTGGCTTGGGCCTCTGTAGATCGTTACGAACCTGAAATAAACACATACGGATTAAAAAACAGGAACATTTTTGAGCATGTTGCACTGGTGCTACAAAAGCTGCAAGTGTTGTAGCTAAAATGAACATCTGTTTAGCACAGAGATTAAAAAAAGGGGGGGAAAAGGAATTAAGGTGCATCTAAAAATATAAATTTCTGCGTCATTTTAACAGAGGCAGCATTTAAAAGGTTTGTACTTTAATGCCCATGAGGAGAGCGATGAGCATTAGAAGTGTTTTCTGCATCTTTGAGCGCGAGGTAACCCACACCAGCAGGAGCACGTGCATGGCTGGAGTCATACATTCTAAAGGGGAAACTAAGAGTTTATTACCTGAAAGTAAGACTTGAATCCAGAGACATGTTTAGGAGGACCTATTACTTTTCAGCAGGCAAACAGTATGATCATAAGGCCCAATCCCATTTCACCCCTCGCCCCTACTGCTCAGCCCCACCCCTCTGTTTTGTCTGTTCATGTCTAGGGGTAGGGTGTCCCGATTGTTGTTGAGATAGAGGGGTAGGGTGAAGTGTTGGGGCTACATGACCCTCCAAATGGAGGTTTGTCAGAGACTCCAAACAGAGAGTTATGAGGAAAAAAGGAAAAATGGCAAGATGGAGAACAAGAGACCAAAGAAACACACAAATGTGAGAATTTTCTCTGTTAAAAAATAACAATAACCTGTATTATCTTAGTTTAATGTCGTTTCAGTGTTTTATTTGGTCCTTTTCTTCATAACAAGCATTAAAAAAAACTACCACCTTAAATAGTCCAGCAGTCCTGAAGTGCCAGAATGTAACTGCTGCTCCATTTAAGGTGGAACGGGAAAATTCGAACAAGAAGCTGGTTAATATCTGACTTCAGCTTCTTATCACTGAAGAATTAGTGGTGGGTGATAATAAATAATTGCCCCCCTCTTTGAAGATCATATGATGCCCTAAATGTAACTAAAGCCCAGCAGTGAGGAGCTGAACTTTACCCTCCTCTGCTGTCACTGCAGACTGGCAGGGTCTCCTACAGAGCAGCGCTGGTAGCTGTTAATGAAGTGATGCTCTTTTTATTTGAGGGTCCCATTTCAGAGGGAAGATCTCAACCACTACCCTGTAACTCAGCTCCAAGGGGCAACACTCAAACAAGGTGTAGGGGTAAAAATAAGAAATGGGACTGGGCCTAAACGTCTCCCTGATCGACTGCGTCTGGGGTAAGAGGGTGGTGAGGAAATGAGATTTCTGGCCAAACTATTTCTTAATTTGTTTCGGATGAAGAAATGATTGCGCACAAACCAACACTTTAGATGTATTTCTCAGTGCCGTAATGAGATAAAGCATTAACGAGCACTGATGTGTGATACAGTGATATAAATCAAATCTCCACACTCAGCCAGGTTCACTGGAGAGAGAAATAGCTGTGGATCTTTTGTTTCTGGGGTTAGCGGATCTGCATGGTTACTATGGCAACGTGACCGCTAACAGGACTCTGGAGTCCAGCGCCCGGCCGGATACAGCTCAGCCTCGCACTAATTTTGATTAAGTACCTGATTCACTTACTGCCATCGCAGACAATCTATCTAAAAAACAGAAAACGTTTACAAAGCACTAATGCACACCAATCAGCACGCTAATCAGCCAGATGGCATTAACGAGCGCATGGTTACTGTTCTGATCTGATAAAAAGGCTATTTTGTGGCAGGAGTTTAAAAATGAACGGCATTAGCACTTGGAAGGCCTTTGTTTACAGGGGCGATTGAAGCTTCCCTGTTCCTCTGATTACACTACACACAGCGTCCTTCATTACAGCTCTCAAATGTGAGTACACAAAATTCGGGAATTAGTAATTAATTGGACTAAATAAACAGTCATTTCTATTCTAGTCCGGGGCTGGAAAAGTCTACATGAGAAAATGCTGTAGGCTGAGTGGGTGGGGCTAAAAAGCTCTAGGGTGAATGGGTGGGGCTAAACTGCTGTAGGCTGAGTGGGCGGGGTAAACTACTTTAAGTTTAATGGGTGGGGCTAAACTGCTGTAGACTGAGTGGGCGGGGTAAACTACTTTAAGTTTAATGGGTGGGGCTAAACTGCTGTAGCTGAATGGTGGAGCTAAACTGCTGTAGCTGAATGGTGGAGCTAAACTGCTGTAGCTGAATGGGTGGAGCTAAACTGCTGTAGCTGAATGGTGGAGCTAAACTGCTGTAGGCTGAATGGGTGGAGCTAAACTGCTGTAGCTGAATGGTGGAGCTAAACTGCTGTAGGCTGAATGGGTGGGGCTAAACTGCTGTAGACTGCAGGGGCAGGGCTAAACTGCAGTAGACTGAAAGGTGTTGCTGAACTCCAGGCATCTATATGTAAATATTTTCATGCTTGTGACATCATAGTGGATGTGTATGGACTGTGTGGACAGTGGGGCGAATGGTAGATTTTGAAACAATGCGTCCATAAATCTTTTATTCAGTTTTTTCTGATATGGGTCCTTTAAAGTGGTCATAAATTCTGTCGTAGACTGTGCTGACCTCTCCTCACCCTTCAGAACAGGCTAACTGGAATGATGAGAGAATTAAGGCTGTTTAGAATAGAGAGGCTGTTTGATGCCCCTGGCTGGGTGCTAATTATCCCCATTAGAAACCCATCTGCCAGGACCCGTGCCCGCTCAGCAGCGCTGCCAACAGGATGGCTCTGCCAAGAAAAACAACTGCCTGCCTCAATTACATTAGCTAATTTGCCATGCTCACAGCCTCACAGTTCAAACAGGGCGGTATTCTCACAGCACAGGTGATCACAGGTCAGGTGCTGAGGCAGATGAGGTTCTGGAGAAGGACCAGGGATTAAAACCGTGAGAAACCCGTCACAGGTACTGAACGGCTCTTAGCTCTGATAATCCAGTTGAACTGAATATGGGAGAGTTTTAGAGTGTGAATTCCTCCAGATTCATGCTTTACCCCAAACGTATCAATCAGCCAAAACATGTTCGGTGTCTGACGTTTGCTTCTTTAGTTTTAGCACTAGAGCTAAGAGGCTAATGTCATCCCACGCTTGACTCAAACCATGTTAGTAAAGTTGTCTTACTATTCACCAATTCTTATTCGAACTTTCCATTCCACCTTAAATTGTGCAGTTATTAAATTCAGGCACCTGTTTCCTATTTGCCAGCTTCTTATTCTAATTTTTCGTTCCACCTTAAATGGTGCCGTTGTTACATTCCGGCACCTGAGGCTTCCTATTTACCAGCTTCTTATTTTAATTGTCAGTTCCACCTTAAATGGTGCAGTTGTAACATTCTGACACCTGAGGCTGTGGTTTAAAACTGCTGCACCATTTAAGGTGGAACGCTGTACAGAATTCTGATATATGTGCATTTTTTTCACTGTGTAATTGCGCTAACATTAGGACGGCAGCTGATTGGCTGAGCTCAGCTCAGGTCAAGGAGCTCACCTGTTGTTCTTGTCCTCCATCTGCAGGTTGTACAGTATCTCGTCTCCCAGCTGGATCTTGGTGCCGTTGGTGTCTCCCCACTTCAGTTTGAGGCTCTGGGGTCCAGCGGCACTGCACTCCAGGCGGGGGGGTGTTGGGGGCAGGGGTTTAGTCCGGGCCAGCAGTGGAGGGCATAACGGACCGGAACCAACCGCGTTCACTGCCTGGATCTGCACACTGACACCCAGAACACATCCAGAACACATATATATGACATATACACTACAGACAAATAATACACTAACAATAATGGTGGAGCTAAACTGCTGTAGCTGAATGGTGGAGCTAAACTGCTGTAGACTGAATAGTGGAGCTAAACTGCTGTAGACTGAATGGTGGAGCTAAACTTCTGTAGACTGAATGGTGGAGCTAAACTTCTGTAGACTGAATGGTGGAGCTAAACTGCTGTAGACTGAATGGTGGAGCTAAACTTCTGTAGACTGAATGGTGGAGCTAAACTGCTGTAGCTGAATGGTGGAGCTAAACTTCTGTAGACTGAATGGTGGAGCTAAACTGCTGTAGCTGAATGGTGGAGCTAAACTGCTGTAGACTGAATAGTGGAGCTAAACTGCTGTAGACTGAATGGTGGAGCTAAACTTCTGTAGACTGAATGGTGGAGCTAAACTGCTGTAGCTGAATGGTGGAGCTAAACTTCTGTAGACTGAATGGTGGAGCTAAACTTCTGTAGACTGAATGGTGGAGCTAAACTTCTGTAGACTGAATGGTGGAGCTAAACTTCTGTAGACTGAATGGTGGAGCTAAACTGCTGTAGCTGAATGGTGGAGCTAAACTGCTGTAGACTGAATGGTGGAGCTAAACTGCTGTAGACTGAATGGTGGAGCTAAACTTCTGTAGACTGAATGGTGGAGCTAAACTTCTGTAGACTGAATGGTGGAGCTAAACTGCTGTAGACTGTATGGGTGGGGCTAAACTGCTGTAGGCTGTTTGTACAGTACACAGCCTGCCATGAGTTCTGGAGTGATGTTGTGTTTCTGCACATCACTGAGGAATCGAACAGTTGTATTTATTAGCGCTCTAACAACCAGAATACCAGCGGATCTTGTTTTGATGAAGGAGAAACGGAAGCAGCGTTAATCTCTCTTTAATACGCAGCAGCTTCACAGCTTTAATCGATAACCCATTAGACGCAGCAGCGCTGAGGGAATCAGTAATTCACAGGAACCGGTTAATAAGGCGCGTGATTATTAATTTGAAAAGAAAATCTCTCCTCTGGAAACAATTCATTCATCAGCTTTTAACATGAAGAGGAGGGAAGGGAACGAGTGCAGCCGCAGGTGAAACCTCAGAGGCAGAAACTGACGGAGAAGAAAGAGCAGCTTAATTATTACAACAGATGTAATTACAGCAACAACAGATCCAAACCTGAACTGAAATTATCAATAAAAATTGTTTTAAAATTTCTACACTGCTTCTGAGACAGTGAAGGAGTGGAACAATTAATGATTTAGAGCATTAAAGCTAAAAGCTTTTAAACGCTTTATGATGTAGAATATTAATGCTAAACGCTTTATGATGTAGAGCATTAATGCTTAACGCTGTATGATGTAGAGCATTAATGCTAAACGCTTTATGATGTAGAGCATTAATGCTTAACGCTGTATGATGTAGAGCATTAATGCTAAACGCTTTATGATGCAGAGCATTAATGCTTAACGCTGTATGATGTAGAGCATTAATGCTAAACGCTGTATGATGTACAGCATTAATGCTAAACGCTTTATGATGTAGAGCATTAATGCTAAACGCTTTATGATGTAGAGCATTAATGCTAAACGCTTTATGATGCAGAGCATTAATGCTTAACGCTGTATGATGTAGAGCATTAATGCTAAACGCTGTATGATGTACAGCATTAATGCTAAACGCTTTATGATGTAGAGCATTAATGCTTAACGCTGTATGATGTAGAGCATTAATGCTAAACGCTTTATGATGCAGAGCATTAATGCTAAACGCTGTATGATGTAGAGCATTAATGCTAAACGCTGTATGATGTACAGCATTAATGCTAAACGCTTTATGATGTAGAGCATTAATGCTAAACGCTTTATGACGTAGAGCATTAATGCTAAACGCTTTATGATGTAGAGTATTAATGCTAAACGCTTTATGATGTAAAGTATTAATGCTAAACGCTTTATGATGTAGAGCATTAATGCTAAACGCTTTATGATGTAGAGTATTAATGCTAAACGCTTTATGATGTAGAGTATTAATGCTAAACGCTTTATGATGTAAAGTATTAATGCTAAACGCTTTATGATGTAGAGCATTAATGCTAAACGCTTTATGATGTAGAGTATTAATGCTAAACGCTTTATGATGTACAGTATTAATGCTAAACGCTGTATGATGTACAGTATTAATGCTAAACGCTGTATGATGTAAAGCATTAATGCTAAACGCTTTATGATGTACAGCATTAATGCTAAACGCTTTTTGATTTAGTTCCTTTTTTCCAAATGCAAAACTCTTAGCAAAAAGGGTTTTATATAGAACCAAATAAGGTCCTATGATAACAACAGCAGAACCCTTGTTGGTGCTAAACAGAACCATTCTTAACCGGTTCTTTAAAGAATCATATAGAACAATTTTCCATCATAGAGAAGCCTAATTTAACTCTGCGAAGAATCACTTTGAACTCTAGTGGCTCTACATGTAAGCACTGCCTTTACTAAAGAACCCTTGAAGAACCCATTTTGAGGATATGTGATTGATCTGCTCTCCAGCAGCCTGACCTTCACTGTTCACTGAGGAGGAACAGAAACATAACTCAGACGGAACATCAGCAGAGCAGAACACAGCGGACTCGTTCAGCTAGAACAGATTTAGACGCTGTGAAAGAGAAACAGGCAGGAATTGCTTTGAACTCATAAACACATAATAAACAAACAAATGGAAAACATGACAAACAACAATTGAGGCTGTAAACACCCCCCTTTTAAACAGGTAAAGAAAAAGCTGATGTCCTCCAAAAGCCTCTATAATGTTCATATGATCCACACAGTCACTCTGACAGACTGTAATACACTACAGGAAGTGTAGGGGGCGATATGGCTTCTACTGTTTCATTTAAAAAGCTCTATAATGTTCATATGATCCACACAGTCACTCTGACAGACTGTAATACACTACAGGAAGTGTAGGGGGCGATATGACTTCTACTGTTTCATTTAAAAAGCTCTATTTTTACAGACATTTACAGTGTGTCCCAATTCAGGGGCTGGATTCTTCGAAGGACGCGTTCTATGAAGGCGTGTCCTTCAGAGGCTGCTTAGACCCGTGGAGGCTGAACCGAAATGAGATGGTCGGCTCTACGGCGGATTTTCCTGTTTGTGTCACAGCACCGCTGTTCCCGGCCTCACCGCTGTGCCACGAAACGCCACTCCTGTCGAGTTCTTTTAAAGTTCTTTAAAGACGGAGCCAGAAACTTTTGGATCCTTTGTTGCCATGGAAAAGAAGGACACATTTCTCGGCTGCATACAAAGGAGCCTTTGAAATGGGACAGTCTAGTCGCGCCGCTGTGACGCAATCAGCCTTCAAATGCAGCCTCCGAAGAACACGACTCCTGAATTGGGACACACTGTTCATGACGTTTCCCGTGACTCAGCTGAGGCAGTAATGAACAACACTTCCGGTCCCCAACCGGATATTTCAGCCGTAACCTCGGCCACGTAAATAAAAAAGGGGATATGTTATTTTGCACTGATAATGCCGATGACGTCTGTCATCTGCAGTCCTACACGGATTAGTCATGTTCCCCAAAAGCCACCAAACAGCAGCACCTAATAATCCCAGCGTTCTGCGAAATGGAACTCCAAAAATAAAGTAATGAGTGCTGGGAGTATTTTGGGGTATTGATCAGAGAGTCGTGCGGAAGGTAAAGCTGCGTCGCGGCTGTGTTTGACATTTAGCTGAAATCACAACACAGTCTAACCTTTCTCCAGATTTCATTACGCTGTGAGGCCTTAAAGACAGCAGACATAATCAATCTGAGAGCTATCAAACCGCGCCATGTCTGGACCGTGTATACTGTGTTCAGAGATGTTCACAAGTCACTTCAAGTGAGTCTGAGTCAAGTCTCGAGTCTCTGGCGTGCGAGTCCGTTTTACTGTTTTATGCAGTAGTGCACTGAGCCCCCCAGTGGGCTGCAGTGGTACTGCTTTGGGGCTGGGAATGTTTTAACCATAAACGGCTAAATTTCAGTGTTACTGCAGTGCTGAGAATGATCCACCACCCAAATAGTACCTGCTCTGTGAGGGTCCATGGGGGTCCTGACCACTGAAGAACAGGGTAAAAGGGGGCTAACAAAGTATCAGAGAAACAGATGGACTACAGTCTGTAACTGTAGAACTACAAAGTGCACCTATATAGTAAGTGGAGCTGATAAAATGGACAATGAGCGTAGAAACAAGGAGGTGGTCAGAATGTTATGCCTGACCGGTGTATATATAAATTAGAACATCATATTTAGGTCGTCCTCATTTACTAGTCTAGCAAAACGCTCGCTATGTTTACATTTTCTGTAGATGTCAAAGTAAAACGTTTCTCCTTTCGTCTGCTTACAATTCCTCCGTCGTGGATAAAGGGTTACAAACAGGGTCTTTCAAACAGAAGGACCCCCAGGCTGGACCACCTACAAGTAAAACAGCCAATGTGTCTCAGACTAAACCTAGAAAACCAAGAAGAAACCGAAATGAAGAAAACACAGCAGTGAGTACCGAGTCTTATCACACCGTGACAGACACAAACAGGCAGACCGTCTTCAGGTCACAAAGATCTCCTCACAAAACCAACGCTGATGAGAGAGGAGTGCGGAGAGTTTCACCCTTCACAATCCAGGAGCTGGAGCTTTATGAGAGATTTCAGATGCAGCTCGCTCTGTAACTCAGTGTGAGCTCTGTTTGAGCTGATTTTGGAGACGCACCATCCGAGAGGAAGCAGAAGGCAGACAAATCCTCCTGAGGTTTGTCAAAAAGTGCCAGTTGCTGGGACACAGCTGAACCGTCAGCTTGGCTGTCATCACGTCAAAAGCAGAGACGACAGTCATTGGTCAGTGAGTCAGCAAAAGTTATCAAAAGATGTAACACATTTGAAACATTGCGTTTGGTGTGAAAGACATTATCGGTAATAAACATGCTCCAGGTCATTTACCGCTGTCTGAAACTCCCGCTCTAATAACGGCCTTTCTCACGTCTGAGATCATAAAACAACTGAACGCTCAGGTCTCTGAAGCCACACCAGTTACTCCATCAGTTTGAGGCTAAAAATATGCATCTAAACCTGTTGAACTGAGTCAGACCTCCTTTCACAACTTTCACTTCTTCAGCATGTCGTCCAGCACTTAGTAGCTTCCAAACAACACCAGCTCACTCATTAGGTCAGCTAGAAAACCTTTGGTTGTTTTTTAGTGTTTGTTGTGTTGAAGCAAGACTGACAGGCTGAACTGATTACTGTATCATATTTGTTTGCACTTTAAATGATCTGGTCAAAAATCCTGTGGGTTTGGGAACCTCCCGCAGTAAGTGGACAAATCTGTGTTCTCTGTGGATTCATTAACAATTCATTTCATAATTCTGACACGGTGTGTCTACTGCTGTGTCTACTGCTGTGTCCTGAATGAATCCATGAAGGCCAGCCAGGTCTAAGTTATAATAACAGGTTGTTATTAGCATATTAATGGGACACAACCTTGTATGTCTGGAATGGTCACTTTACAGGAGAAGGCAAAAACCTTCTTAACTTACAATGGAAGTCAATGTAATGAGATGTTTTGTTCAGTAGTCATTTTGGAGCATTTCTATTATCTGTTAGTCCAACTTGTACAACAGTAGATATCATAGTTTAATTTCATAACTTATTTCTGTACAACTGTACACTGGAAATAGTGCAATGCTAGTGTATATTGTGCATATGTGTCACGCCTCCTGCCGAGGACGCCTCCTCCACCTGTTCCTTTTTCCTCACAAGATCACTCGAGTCCTTGAATGGTCCGGAGGACTCTAACTCCCATGAAACAAGTGGGAGACCATGCGATTCTTATTCCATCGCCATCAACCAATGAACATTCATTTCATCGTTCCTCCTCAGCAGAATTCTAAACTGCCACACCTGTTTTTCATTACACATCATTAGTCAGTTAGTATATAAAGCCGGGCTTTAGCTTAGTCATTTGCGAGGTCTTGCCAACTCCTTTCGTTGCGTACTGAGCGTCTCTGTTTGTGAAAGTTCTTTATGTATGACCTGTTTTCTGTATTTCTGACCTGTCCTTATCGTCATTGCCCTTTTGGTTTGTTTGGTGGATATTGTATTTTTGTATTTATTTGTGTGACACACACACTCTAAGGCTCTATTGCTGTGTTTACATGTTAGTGTTGATTGAAACCAATGTTTTGCTCCTCATAGCGGTTCCTGACCGACGGTGACATGCAGCCAAGCAAACGTTGCCACGGTGACAGCGTTACCAATGAAAATGGATGATTATTACAGGAGAACTTTAGCAATGCGGATTGTTTATTTAAGGTGGAATAAAGGCAGGATGCTCCGTACTCTTTTTGATCGATTTGTTGATATGTAATTGATATATAATACTGCATTTGCCTGGACAATGAGACGTTTGGCATTCATGGCTCCCAAAAACATCAATATTTGGTTTATTTCACCGCTGTGGTTGGCAGCAAAAGATGGCAAAGTTCAACTCAACGCTGGTAGAATTCAGCAACGTTGAAAACATGAAGATCCAGTTTGTTGTCTTCCGTTTACTGCAACATGTAAACACAGCGCAGGATGATTTATACCTCTACAACTTTGATATTGTAAGACCCCATCATGTGTTTTAATGAACGCATTCCTGCTGTTTCTGCTGTTTGTTAGCCTTATATTGGTAGCTTTAGGAGGATGTGAGGATGATAGTGATATGTAATGCTGTAAACTAGGTCTGAGTGATGTAATCAGATATCGTCAATGACGGATAAGTAACCCAATAGTGATGCGTAAAAGGCGATCATCTCCATTTTGGGGAGAAAACAGAGAGAATTACAGAGGACTAATTTACTGTTAAACAGCTTGTAAATATGTAAGGAAACTGAGGTTCACGTTTAAGAAGTGTGAACTCCAACAGTCACTGGAGTCTGAAGTTTCTCCAGCAGGGAGCGCTATTAGCACACAAACTGCCTTGAACCTGCACCAGAAGGAGCTCATGAACGCACGTGTCTGCAGTAACATACATTAAAACGACAAGTGAAGTAGTTTTCAGAAGATGTTGGTCTACTCAATATTATATTATTTAAAGTGTGGTGTTATTAAATCGAATATAAAGTAGGTGTTTGTGTTGGTGATGTAACTGATAATCAAATTTTTTTAAATATTGTGATCAGTACTTTTAGATACTGCTCAGGTCTACTGTATAGCACCAACTGCTGTTCGCCACATGCATGTTTTAACGATAGAATCGGTCAGTAGGTCAGGCAGTAACTCAATAGGAGTCATCAATTCTCTAAAGGCTAATGGACACAGCATCACGTAGCTGAGCACCACCGTAAAACATTTAAGGTGGAACAGGAAATTTTGAGTAAGAATCTGGTGAATATCTGACTTCAGCTTCATATCACTGAAGAATTAGGGGTGGGTGATAATAAATAATTGGCCCCCCTCTTTGAAGATCATATGATGCCCTAAATGTAACTAAAGCCCAGCAGTGAGGAGCTGAACTTTACCCTCCTCTGCTGTCACTGCAGACTGGCAGGGTCGCCTACAGAGCAGCGCTGGTAGCTGTTAATGAAGTGATGCTCTTCTTATTTGAGGGTCCCATTTCAGAGGGAAGACTTGAAAATGAGGGGTAAGGGTAGAAATAAGAAATGGGACTGAGCCGAAGTCTTGTTTCACCATTTTCTTATTTTGAAGACGGATGAATGCAATGTTCACAAACCATCTTACAGTCTAAGTACTGAATAAGTCTGGCCTTGGGTCAGTCCATCTCACTCCCCCCTCAGACCGACTCTGATTGATCTGCCCTCGGAGAAACTGTCCGATTAAGGCAGATAAGAGTGTCCAGTTCATCCTGGGTGAAGGGGATTCTAACTCTAAAAGACTCCGTGGATATGAGACCATTTGCTTGACAGATAAAAAGCCTCCGCCGTCCTCCGACACCGAACAGACATCAGCTCAGATCAGAAAATGGAATCGGAGAGCCTCCCGTTTTCATTTACCTGAGACAAAAAACACACTTCAAAGAGTCTGATGATGAGAAAACAACAGAAAGGGGCTGCTTTCATCTCTCTGCTGCTCTGCGGGGGAGAGGAGCAGGTGGAGGGATCAGGTTTGATGGAGTTCATATGGAAGAGCCTCATAACCCACATCAGGCCATTAACCTCAGTTGACGGTTATGCTAATGAGCCGAATGGCTGGGTGTGCTATAATGCTTGAACAGCGGCCTGTTAGATTTCCAGCCAACAGCAGAAACAAGAACACAGAATGAGCACAGAACACACAGACTACACTCTTAAGATGGTTCTTCAAGGGTTCTTTAGTAAAGACAATGGTTCTATATAGGACCATGAACACTCGAAAGGACCCTTTGCATGCTTAAAGGGTTCTTTTCATCATGAAAGAGTTCTTCAGATTGATGGAGAACATACTGTACACTCTTAAAAAAAGATGGCTTTTCAAGGGTTCTTTAGTAAAGAAAATGGTTCTATATAGAAACAAGAACACTCGAAGAACCGTTTGCGTGCCTAAAGTGTTCTTTGCATGGCAAAACGGCTCTTCAGATGGATGGAGAACGTTCTGGACACTCTTAAAAAAAATTGGTTCTTCAAAGGTTCTTTAGAAGCAGCTCAGTTCATTTAACAGTAAATACAGACAAAATGTTGGCAATGACAGTCAAATCCTGCTGTTTTTGAGCCTGTAATGTTTTTTAATCTGTATTCTTGCACTGCATTTGCTCTGTAACTTTACCCTAATTTTTGCCCTGATTTTTGCATTAATTTTTTTGTATTTTTACTCTGCATTTTACTTTGCAATTTTATTCTGTATTTTACTTCGTATTTTTACTTTTATTTTTATTCTACATTTTACTCTGTATTTTTATTGATTTATTTGTGTTTTTACTGTATAATTTTACTCTGTATTTTTATTGTTTTATTTGTGTTTTTACTGTATAATTTTACTCTGTATTTTTATTGTTTTATTTGTGTTTTTACTGTATAATTTTACTCTGTATTTTTATTCTGCAATTTTGCTCTTAATTTTTAATTTTTTTCATACTTATAAAGAAAACAGTCTGAGGATTTGGATTGTTAGCTTAGCCACCATGTGCCTCAGGTAGTTAGCGCATGTTTCGTTCCTAAATCTACAGTTTCGCCATCCAGTGATAAAACAGCACTGTCACACCCAGCCGACCCCCGGAGGGCGTTTTAGATGCCTTTTCGTTGGTGTAATATGACATTACAGTGTGGACAGAAGGGCGAAAAGGAGAACAACTCCAAAACTTCAAAGTTCTACCTGTTCTAAAACTGGACTGTGAGTTACAGTGGGCTGAGTGTGCAGGGTGTACGGTGTGTGTGTATGGTGTATGTGTACGGTGTGTGTACCTGTACTGAGTGTCGGGCTGCAGGTGCTGCAGCAGGTGGCAGGTGGAGGCGTCCAGCTGAATGACCTCCTCCCCCACTGTGAGTCTGTACGAGCTGATCTCAGCTCCGTTACTGCAGGGCTCGTCCCACTTCAGCGCCAGGCAGGTGGAGGGAGCGTACTGACCGCTGACCGAGGGGTCGTAATCCAGCACGGCCACAGCTGAGACCACGTCCGGCACCGCGGCCCCAGTCTGCACACTGACCAGCTCAGTGTACGGACCAACCCCGGCCTGATTAACCGCCTGAGAGAGACACAATGAGAGAAAGAAAAAGAGAGAGAGAAGAAAACAGAATAGAATTGACTTGAATTGAACTCATGACAAACACGTAAAGGAGCTCATAAGAGTTTTCAGAAAAAAACATGAAACAAGTAACTTTCCTCGAATTTGTATTTGAGCGTCTATGTTTTACAGAAGCCCTAAAGGGGAAGATAAAAACAGTGAAAGTGCATTCCTGACTAAGTTCCACGACTTCCTCACAATTTTCGTTCAACTACTGGCGAAATGGGTGATAGATAAATATTGGCTCACACTTGTTACACCAGCTTTGACCAGCAGGGGGCTATTTTTCTTTTACCCTTCAGATACCAGGTGAAAAAAAAATACTGAAGAACTAATTGGCTAACAGTTAGCATGCTAATGCTAAGTATTTTTTCCACTTGGCATCCGAAGCTTAAAAAAGAACAAAACGCTGCTGCCCCCTGCTGGTGAAAGCTGGTCTGAAATGTTAAGTGTTAGCCAATAACTGTTTTTTGAAACAGATTTTAAAATTGTTTTTGATGACTGAAATTCTACAAAGTCTGATGCTAGAAATATTTTTGGTTATTTTTGGTTATTTTTGGTTTGTTATACAGGCACAAAAATAAATAAAGTGTAACTTAGACTCAGGAACGCATTAGATTTTTTAAAAAATCTTATACTTCAGGGCTGCTGCAGTTTTTACCCTAACGGACAACGATAATGTCATAATTAGTTCATTTTAAGCCAGAATTTTTGGAAAATGGTCATGTTTCTGTCAGATTTTGAGTTCAGGGGGACCAAGAGGTTAATTAGGGGGTCCCAGACCCCCCAGAAACCCCTCTATTTCACACTTTGGCTGTAGAGGACTAGAGTCAGTCTAATCCCTGCATTGATACACAGAAGAATTCCAGCGTTGTGTTAGTATGTAGATGGTGTCTGTGCCCAGAACAGCTTTAATGAGGACTACACCACACAGTTCTTCTCCTAACGCTAACAGCTTCTTCTTCATCTTCATTATACTTCACACTGGAGGCGCTGCAGTGAGCCTTTGAACTGTAACCTCTCACTTCTGTCTGATTCCTCAGGCTGTTATATAAGGTTTTGTACTGTTTCAGTATCTGCATATGATCTGCACTTTGTTTTTACACCAAAAGACCATCTATTTTGTCTCCTCTTTTCAGGGATAATAACTGTAAACCTGTATTTTCTCCTATTTAATTATCAGTTCATTCATCGCAGTGCATGTATTATGCAGCACTTTGCTTTTCATATCTGCGCTTTTATAAAAACTGGATTTTCACGGGTTATAATGTCAACCTTGTAACAACAGCAGAACCATTTTGGTGCTATTTAGAACTATATAGGTGCTATATAGAACCATACACAACACGTTCTCCATCAGTCTGAAGAACATGCAGATTGTTTCTAGTTTAGTTCTGTTTTCTTCGGTTTTGTTTAACCATGGACTCTGTTCTACGAACCCTTTGTTACTCAGTTTTTAGACTCTAAAATCGGATTTAAATAAAAGCAACTCACACTTGCATCCAGCCTCATCGCCTCCTACACTACAGTCTTCTTCCAGCTGGCAGCTAATTTTGCCCGTTTTAAGCTTTACTTCTCAAAATAAGCAACCTTATCTTCCAGATTCAATAGACAAAATTATTTCACATACTTCAATAGGCTGAATAAGGCCAAAAAGAAATATTAGTCATATTGATTACCTTTGATATTATTTTGCTTGTTCATTATTTTTTTGCAATGCACTTTTATATTTTGATCTTTCTGTACTGTCGGCCCCCTCAGACTCCAGCCAAAAGGTATTTATTTGGCAGACGTACACAGTCGTATGCCAAAACAAATAAATAAAACATAAGACAGACCACATTTTTTGTTTTGTTTACTCCCCAATGGGTTAAATTCAGCACATAAGCAGTAACGGCACTTTGGAATGTGCAAAACAGGGTTTTCTGTGATTTTCATTTAGAAAATCAACAAAGCAGGGAAATTGGACCAGGGGCGCACAAACCTTTGCACAAAGTCAGTTTACCAGTTTATATCACAATACCTACATTTAGAGTCGGTTATTCATTCAGCCTAATGAGAAACTGTAGAACAGACTCGGTTTATATCACAATACCTACATTTAGAGTCGATTATTCATTCAGCCTAATGAGAAACTGTAGAACAGACTCGGTTTATATCACAATACCTACATTTAGAGTCGGTTATTCATTCAGCCTAATGAGAAACTGTAGAACAGACTCAGTTTATATCACAATACCTACATTTAGAGTCGGTTATTCATTCAGCCTAATGAGAAACTGTAGAACAGACTCAGTTTATATCACAATACCTACATTTAGAGTCGGTTATTCATTCAGCCTAATGAGAAACTGTAGAACAGACTCAGTTTATATCACAATACCTACATTTAGAGTCGGTTATTCATTCAGCCTAATGAGAAACTGTAGAACAGACTCAGTTTATATCACAATACCTACATTTAGAGTCAGTTATTCATTCAGCCTAATGAGAAACTGTAGAACAGACTCAGTTTATATCACAATACCTACATTTAGAGTCGCTTATTCATTCAGCCTAATGAGAAACTGTAGCTGGGTATCCAAAAACCCCGTGAACGTCCTTGAAAGCAGAGCTCCATCAGTGGAGATCAGAGCGCTTGGTAACTGAGTGGAATGCCGAGCTGTGCTGACATTATTCGATTAGAGCTGTGAAGGTGACTGTAGAGAGACTGAGCTCATTTCTCCATAAGAACATTTAAACTCAAACTGCAGCAGGACCACAGGGTCCTTAACAGCTGTATGAGACGGGAACATCTGCTTAAAGAGCCCATTTAATGAACATCTTAATTTTCCCTAAAAGAGTTTGAAGCAGTATGTAAACAAAGTTTCAAATCGTATCGTTCACTCCCCACTGAATGGAGTCCACATATGGAGACTGCAAAAACAGCCCGTTTTGATTTCATTGTTTTTGTGATGTCACAAATCAACAATTTTACATATATACACCCATTTAATCTACAGGTGTTTAGCCCCGCTATTCAGCCTACAGCAGTTTAGCCCCACCCATTCAGCCAGCAGTTTAGCCCTGCCCATTCAGCCTACAGCAGTTTAGCCCCACCCGTTTAGCCCCGCCTATTCAGCATACAGCAGTTTAGCCCCGCCCATTCAGCCTATAGCAGTTTAGCAGTTTAGGCCTGCCCGTTTAGCCCCGCCTATTCAGCCTACAGCAGTTTAGCCTCACCCATTCAGCCAGCAGTTTAGCCCTGCCCATTCAGCCTACAGCAGTTCAGCCCCACCCATTCAGCCTACCGCAGTTTAGCCCCGCCCATTCAGCCTATAGCAGTTTAGTCCTGCCCATTCAGCCAGCAGTTTAGCCCTGCCCATTCAGACTACAGCAGTTTAGCTCCACCCATTCAGCCTACAGCAGTTTAGCCCCACCTATTCAGCCTACCGCAGTTTAGCCCCACCCATTAAGCCTATAGCAGTTTAGCCCCGCCCATTCCTACAGTAGTTTAGCCCCGCCCCATTCAGCCTATAGCAGTTTAGCCCCGCCCATTCAGCTACAGCAGTTTAGCCCCGTCCGTTTAGCCCCACCCATTCAGCCTACAGCAGTTTAGCCCCACCCATTCAGCCAGCAGTTTAGCCCTGCCCATTCAGCCAGCAGTTTAGCCCTGCCCATTCAGCCTACAGCAGTTTAGCCCCGCCAATTCAGCCTACAGCAGTTTAGCCCCGCCCGTTTAGCCCCGCCTATTCAGCCTATAGCAGTTTAGCCCAACCATTCAGCCTACAGCAGTTTAGCTCCACCCATTCAGCCTACAGCAGTTTAGCCCCGCCCATTCCTACAGTAGTTTAGCCCCACCTATTCAGCCTATAGCAGTTTAGCCCCGCCAATTCAGCCTATAGCAGTTTAGCCCCGCCCATTCAGCCTGCCTCTTCAGCCTACAGTGGACTGCTGTTCGAACTGGGCACAATACAGGACAGCCAATCAGATCGAAGCTTGCTAACCAATATCAGTCTCAAGGGCACAGTAATATAAACAGCCTGTTTAATTCTAAGGGATAAAGACAGGTTGGAATGTTTTTGTCAGATAAAACTAATAAACATGACTGACAATACGAGGATAATGTAAGATATGGGCCCTTTAAATGTGCGGGTTGCGTGTGGTGCTCTGTACCTGTAGTCTGCAGCAGTAAAGTGTGGCCGGCGTTAGGTTGGAGATTTCACACTGTGTGTCCGTTCCGCAGTAGATCAGCTCCATCGGCTCCTGATCCCGACTCCATTCTAGACGGAACTCTGAGATATCAGCACCCGAACTCTCTGGGTTCTAACAGGACACACAAACACCACAGAGATTAGAGTGAGTGGAAGCACAAGGCAGGTGTTTCTAATAAAGTGGCCAGTTAGTGGAAGTACAACGTAGGTGTTTCTGATAAAGTGGCCAGTTATCGAAGTACAAGGCAGGTGTTTCTGATAAAGTGGCCAGTTATTGAAAGTACAACGTGGATGTTTCTAATTAAGTGGCCAGTTAGTGGTTCAAATAAAAAGTAGTGGTTTGCTCACCTCCCAGCTGACCATCACACACGTATTGGAAGTGAGAGTGAGGGATGGCGCCCCACACTGGCCTGGAGGACCTGCTGCTGTGGTCACTTCTGTGGGTTCTGAATAGGGTCCGTACTGTTAAAAAGAGAGATGAGGGGGTAAAGATACAGCTAAAAAAATCGTATCAGTCATATCATTCTGACCACCTCCTTGTTTCCACGCTCATTGTCCATTTTATCAGCTCCACTTACTATATAGGTGCACTTTGTAGTTCTACAGTTACAGACTGTAGTCCATCTGTTTCTCTGATACTTTGTTAGCCCCCTTTTACCCTGTTCTTCAGTGGTCAGGACCCCCATGGACCCTCACAGAGCAGGTACTATTTGGGTGGTGGATCATTCACAGCACTGCAATAACACTGACGTGGTGGTGGTGTGTTAGTGTGTGTTGCGCTGGTCTGAGTGGATCAGACACAGCAGTGCTGCTGGAGTTTTTAAACACCTCAGTGTCATTGTTGGACTGAGAATAGTCCACCAACCAGAAATATCCAGCCAACAGCGTCCTGTGGGCAGCGTCCTGTGACCACTGATGAAGGACTGGAGGATGACCATCCACTCAGACCAGCACAACACACACTAACACACCACCACCACGTCAGTGTTACTGCAGTGCTGAGAATGATCCACCACCCAAATAGTACCTGCTCTGTGAGGGTCCATGGGGGTCCTGACCTCTGAAGAACAGGGTAAAAGTGGGGCTAACAAAGTATGCAGAGAAACAGATGGACTACAGTCTGTAACTGTAGAACTACAAAGTGCACCTATATAGTAAGTGGAGCTGATAAAATGGACAATGAGCGTAGAAACAAGGAGGTGGTCAGAATGTTATGCCTGACCGGTGTAGATACATCAATGTATCTCTTTAAAACACAGTCCTATTGTGAACTGGAGCACGTCTGTTGTGTCTCTCACTCTAAGCAGTTTACTCTCGAGATTCTCATGTCTGGGATCTCGAGGAGAACAAATGAAAACGGTAAACAAAGACGCAGATTAACATCTCTCAGCACACAGTGAACCTGCTCTGAATTCACATCCCTCTACTGCCGGGTCTGTTTCTCTGAGATTACAGACAGAGGAGAGCCGTCAGTCTCACAACTACAATAATACTTCAACAAACACAATGTCTATAGGAACCTATTAACACATTCATAGCACATTATAATCCATTTATAAACATGGAAATACATATTGATTAAAATGCATTATACTTTATAGCCATGGTTACTGTGCATTATGATCTGTTACTACAATGCTTTATGAGTTATACTGTGCCTTATGACCAACAGACCTGCTCACTCATTAACACACACACAGTTTATATGCTTGTAATTATGGGGTTTTTACGACAGTATAAGAGCTTCTACGATCACTCCTAAAAAAGACGATTCCTTTAGGGTTCTTTAGTAAAGAGTGGTTCTATTTAGAACCATAAGCTTTATACAGAACCATTTCATGCTTAAAATGTATGCTTTTTAAAAATGGTTCTATATATTGTCAAAAAACGTTCGTGAATTGTTACAAGCAGGACATTGTAAGAACAACAGCAGCGTTGTTGGTGCTCTACACTCTTAAAAAAGATGGTTCTTTAAGGGTTCTTTGGGACAGGAAGAGCGTTTATTTAGAACTGTAAGTTCTATATAGACCCATTAAATGCTTAAATGGTTCTTTGCATGGTTAAGTTGTTCTTCAGATTGATGGAGAATGTAGATGGTTCTATATAGAACCTTTTTTTAAAAATGGTTCTATATAGTGCCATAAAAGGTTCTCCTATTGTTACAAGCAGGACATTGTAAGAATAGCAGAACCGTTGTTGGTGCACCACACTCGGTTCCTCAAAGGTTCTTTAGTTAAAGAGTTCTATATAGAGCCATTTCATGCTTAAATGGTTCTTTACGTGGTTAAGTTGTTCTTCAGATTGACAGAGAATGTGTTGTGTATGGTTCTATATAGAACATTTGTTAAAAACGGTTCTATTTAGTGCCAAAAAAAGGTTGTTCTATTGTTCCATTGTTGGTGCTCTACACTCTTAAAAAAGATGGTTCTTCAGGGGTTCTTTAGTAAAGAGAGTGGTTCTATTTAGAACCATAAGCTATATAGAGAACCATTTGATGCTTAAATGGTTCTTAAATGGTGCCTGGTTTGCTGTGTTGTAATGCATTTTTAAGTGAGAGCATTTATATTAATAACTCTGGGCTGGACAGCATAACAGTCAGTCCTAACAACACACACGCTGAGACATACAATACTGGACAAAAATACACTCATATGTCTCACTCTACTTACAGCTGACAAATACAGCTTACAAGCTCTTATAACGGGGTTATATATCACTGCTGTCGGAAGAAAACCTTGCATCTCCCGTTTTGTCATTGTTCAGTTTGACATAATCTGAAAATGCCTGTTTCTCTTTACATTGTGTGTAAATTTCATGATGAATGGACCAAAACAAACGGCCCAAAATTACTTGGTTCCATTGACTTACATTAAAAGTAAAGTAGGTTTTTTCGGTAACACTTTCTATGAATGTCACCTTTGTAAGCATCTATAAACACATTCATAACATGTTATAATGCATTCATAAGGCATTATAAACATAGCTATAAATATTTATAAAAATGCATTACACGTTATAGCCATGTTTATTATGCATTATGAATTGTTAACATAATACATTATAAGTACTGATCATAACAAATTATAAGAGTGTATCTGTCATAAGTGGTATTTGTCCGCTCTAAGTAAAGTGAAGCGTACTGTACTAAAGCCTCCTCCAGTGTTCAGAGTGAGGCTTCAAGTTGAAGTATTTACTGAAGGATTTACTGAAACACTAAAACATTCACAGTAAAGCACATTACAGGCTTCAAATGTCAGAGTTTAAACTAGAGCTGCCATCAGTGTTTTACCCAATGTGGGAAAGGTAATGTTCACCACCGTTAGCTTGGTATTTGTCTTTACTTTATGCTCTCCAAGCTGGGACTGACTTCTTTGGCACTGACAGTATAACATGTTATTAACACTATTTATAATGCATTATATTAACAATTCATAATGTATAATAAACATGGCAATAAAGTGTAATTCAGTGTCATTCTTTTTTATAAATATTTATAACCATGTTTGCCTTATGAATACATTATAACATGTTATAAATGTGTTTATAGATGCTTACAAAAGTGACATTCATAGAAAGTGTTACCAAAGTAACTTTAGTGTTACTTCTAAATGTTGACATTCTAATTGTTGATATAGGCAGCATGTTTTTTTTTATTTTTGATTTGTTCCCCGATTTTCTCCCCAATTTAGTCGTCTTCACTCCCACCCACTAGTCAGATCTCCCCCAATCACACGATACCACCAGTGCTAGGAGGGCGAAGGTAAACACAGGCCGCTCATGCAGCGTCATTATACAGCCGAACGCACTCGGAGGAGACGCTAAACGCCAGTTCTGTTACGCCAGCTAACGGACGCCTGCACTGACTAGCATCGCACTCCCTGAGTGACGGGGAGGGTTGGGACCCAGAGAGAGCGAGGACAACTGTGCTCTCTTAGACTCCCAGACACGGACGACTGTAGCATCCATCAAACTCGTGATCTCCTGATGACAGAGCCAACACTTAGACGGTTGCCCAGGGGAGCCCAGGCTACAAGTCTTTGACAGCAAACCTGACAACCAGCCTGTTCAGTTCTGCCAGCTTACAGGCTGTACAGACCAGGTCTTGGGTTTAAAACCGCACCATGATTCACAGAACAGATCATCATCAGACTCCGCCTCACCATCCAGAGTGATTTCATCCACCTGTGACCGTCCATCAGCCAGAGATCAGCTCCAGAATCACCCACAACCCACTCAGTACTGTTATACTACATCTCTGCTTTCAGCCTTCATATTATAAACAAAGGGCTTTCAGTTTACATTGATTTTGAGTATTAAAAATATCTGATATTAAATATGCAAATCAATTTGTAATTAAAAATAAAGGCTGTCTTGCTGTGTATCAGAGTTTTAGGACTCAGCCTGAATCCAAGAGGACAGAAAATCAATAAAAACCATGTCCACCTTATGATAATTGTTCATTGTTACTCATAATAACCAACAGAATGAGTCACTATTAAAATTATTGCTCTTTCAGCTCACAGACACTCCAGACTAACAGTTTCTGAAAAGATAACTACAACTGCACTTGTTTTCAAGATCTCTATAATTAAAAAAATACTAAATTTAGCAGGCGCTGGGTAAATGTTTGATCAGAAATGACCCAAATTCATAAAGATATCAAATTTCTGTGAGCATTTACATGTCAAACAATGGTGTATCTGAGCAGCCCAGGGTCTCCTGAATATAACAACATATGGCCTGTGTGACTGTCACATGTAAATACTTTATAACTGTAACTGTAATTGTAATTGACCCAAACTCCAAAAAAATTCCCAAAAATTATAGGGTTCTAAAATCGGGCCTTGGCTGTTTGGACGGAGGGGCTCACTGGTCAGCGCAGTAGCACTGGGGTCTTTTGCCATCAGCTTTGCAGAAGCATGTTGTTTCACCAGCTGCTTCAGAAGATTAGAATTACTGTTCTTGGAATGTTGAACAGACCCAGAACTCACTAGTGTATTATTGTCCTTGATCTCGAGGAGGAAAAATAACGCCCATGTTTCCAGAACAGTGAGCTCACACTGCGCAAACTGTCGGCCACTTTTTCAGTGCGCCACCGTGAGGTCAGGTGGTATTAGATGATAAACAGGAAGCTGAGGGAATAAGCTGTGTTTGTCTGCTATGGTCTGCAGTCGAATAATAACCGTACACAAAAGTAACGAGGCTGTTTAAATTTCAGTGACTGTTTTGCGTAATTTAATTCGGAAAGGTAACTAGATACGTTACTACCTTACTCGTTACTGCCTAAAGTAGTGTCATTTCAGTAATGCATTACTTTGTAACTCGTTATTGCCAACACTGGTTATAAATCATATGTCCATCAATAAGAGTCCAATAATGACACATAAACTGTGTGTGTTAATGAGGCAGGTTTGTTAGTCATAACTCACTCTGCAAGCTGGGAGTGTTTGTGTCCTATATAACCTGTTATGAACTCTACTTATGGCAACAATTCATAATGCGTAATAAACATGGCTATAAAGTGTAATTAATTCCTACAAATATTTATAACCATGTTTATAAAGCCTTATGAATGCATTTTAAAGTGTTAGGAATGTGTTATTATGGTATAATAATAATAATAATACTAATAAAACATAGCACTTTTCAATGACCTTCTAGCTCCAGTGTGTCTGCTGTGGTTGATATTACTTTACTATGTGCAGTGAAGTGTGATTTTCCAAAACAATAAGGTCACAACAACAACATCTGAAATAAGGAAGCAGCAGCATCAGCTTTAATCTCAGAGAGGATTTACCGTGGAGGCAGGCGGCTCGGCTCACTCACTTCCCAGACATTCAGAAAATCTTTTTATTACTGAATTATTCTGATGATCTTTATAGTAATTTAGGCTTTATCCTCATTCTGAGGTTAAATAAATGTTATGTTAAACAAATCTTGTTTTTTGTCAATGGTAACATTCTTTGTCTTAATATTAAGATTAGATTAAGTGACCCTTATTAGTCCCACAACGGGGAAATTTCACCTCCACATTTAACCCATCTGTGCGGTGAAACACCACATACACACTAGGGGGCAGTGAGCACTCAGAGCGGTGGGCAGCCCTATCCACAGTGCCCGGGGAGCAGTTGGGGGTCAGGTGCCTTGCTCAAGGGCACTTCAGTCACGTACTGTCGGCTCAGGGGATCGAACCGGCGACCTTCCGGTCACAGGGTTGGTTCCCTAAACTCCAGCCCACGACTGCCCTTATGAAGTCACTCATCAGGCTATTAAGCAAATTGTGTGAATAGTTGTGATGTTAAACCAGGGTTTCTGTACTTCTGTCTTACAAGGATTTTAAGATGCACTGCGAGTGGAAAAAAAGCCATTACAAAAAATAGAAAAAGTACACTGAAAATGAGACGTGAATGCATCTTCTGAAGAAAAACTCCACCAATTTTTCAAATTTCCAACATAATTAAGTGGTTAAGTTGTAAACAGAGTGGTTCAGAGTGGTTTGGTATGAAACGCTCTGTTTTAGAGTCAGAACTGTTCACAGTGGTGGTGATAGGAACCAGACGTCCACCTCTAAAAGCTCCTCACAGAAAGTTACTACATGAAATGGTTATGAATTCCCTGCCTGATGACTGAGACACTGTTTTATGATCGTTTAGAGAATTTAAACTCCATTCATGGTGGAGGGATACATGCAGGGCGCTGTGAGGCAAAATAGTCCCCAAAGAAAACTTATTATTTCAGATGTTCCACTATTTTCCATCATCGACATTCCATATAAACTCAGAAGACTCGTGTAGGTTCACTGGTGGTTCTGGATAGTAAATAAAATGTCTATATTTGTGTTGTAGTCATGGCGACCCCTGGTTCCTATCACCACCACTGTAAAGACATCTGAACCATGACTTATGAGGGAATTTTGAAATATTGGTGGAGTTTCCCTGTAAAGCCCTTTGTCATAGAAAGAAATCCATACGTGTCTCCATTTCAGCTGTAGTGTGATCCAAACCGGTGTTTAACTCACCCCTGCCTCGTTGGCAGCGCGCAGGCGGAAGCTGTAGGTGGCGCCGGGGAGCAGACTGCTGACCGTACAGTCCAGCTCAGAGCCGCAGTAAACTACAGCAGAGTCCAGCTCACCCTCAGACATCTCCACACTGTACTGTAGCACACCACAGCTACCTTCAGAGGAGGGACAGTCTAGAGACAGAGAGAGAGAGAGAGAGAGAGAGAGAGAGAGAGAGAGAGAGAGACAGGGGGAGAGAGGGAGAGAGAGAGAGAGAGACAGGGAGAGAGAGAGAGAGAGAGAGAGAGACAGAGAGAGCAGAGAAAGAGAGAGAGGCAGAGAAAGAAAGAGAGACAGAGAGAGAGAGAGAGAGAGAGACAGAGAGAGCAGAGAAAGAGAGAGAGAGAGAGAGACAGACAGAGAGAGAGACAGATAGAGCAGAGAGAGAAAGAGAGAGACAGAGAACCAATCAACCTTTACTTCGACTCGGAAGTACATCGAGGGTGACCCTGATTTACAAAGTAGCCGAACAAATTAAACAGCAAATGAAAAAAAATCAAGATGAAATTTATCAACTACAACAAATCACAATCAGCAAGACGAGAGGATTTAAACATAAGATTAAGAATAACAGCTCAAATAAGAAATGGGCATAAAATAGCAATAAAATTTATAATCAAAACACATTAAAATTAAGTACAATAAAAAATAAGAAAACTAAAAATCTTAGAAACAAAACAGAACATAAAAGGAATTAACATCAAATTAAAAAGCGGCAAACTAGTGAAATAAAGTAAAACTGAGCAGATAGAAAGGCGGGTTTGTGTCTCTGCTTGGCTCTGTGAAGCTCTGTCTGAAGTTCTCTCTGCAGCAAAGAACCTTAAAAAGAGAAATCTAATAGGAAACCCCGCAGTAATGTGATTCATACATCACAAACGACCACACGGGGCGCTAACGAAGTTCACACTCCCGTCCGTCACGCGGGTGTGGAGCCGGAGGGAGCAGTAATGTGATTCACACAGTTTACTCAAGTCTACCTGAATAAATATGCACTCAGGACTGACTGTGAAGTTCTGGAGGTTTATTTTAGCACCTCAGCGCAGAGGATGGCTCATTCCTGTTAAGTACATTGGACAGTTCGTTAAAAGCGGAGGACCCGGAGCTGCTGTAATGTGAGGTGGTGATCAGTGTGAAATTAAAACCTCAGAGGAGTAAAAAAGTCTAACAAAACAAACATGAATGAATATAATGTGGAGGAAAAGATGCCTCACCCCACTGTAAGTGCACTTCCTTATGTTTGGCTTTACCCACAATCCTCGGAGGCTGGCAGGGGCCTGGAGGCACGCTCAGGGTGCACACAGGAACACTCTCAGAACACTACGTACACATGAACAGATAGAGACAGGTGTTGTTACCTGGCTGTAGGTGTGTGTGTGTGTGTGTGTGTGTGTGTGTGTGTGTGTGTGTTTTGTTACCTGGCTGTAGGTGTGTGTGTGTGTGTGTGTGTGTGTGTGTGTGTGTGTTTTGTTACCTGGCTGTAGGTGTGTGTGTGTGTGTGTGTGTGTGTGTGTGTGTGTGTTTTGTTACCTGGCTGTAGGTGTGTGTGTGTGTGTGCGTGTGCGTGTGTGTGTGTGTGTGTGTGTGTTTTGTTACCTGGCTGTAGGTGTGTGTGTGTGTGTGTGTGTGTGTGTGTGTGTGTGTGTGTGTGTGTGTTTTGTTACCTGGCTGTAGGTTTGTTATCTGGCCGTAGGTGTGTGTTTTTTACCTGGCTGTAGGTGTGTGTTTTTTACCTGGCTGTAGGTGTGTGCTGTTACCTGACTGTAGGTGTGTGTGTGTGTGTGTGTGTGTGTGTGTGTGTGTGTGTTTTGTTACCTAGCTGTAGGTGTGTGTGTGTGTGTGTGTGTGTGTGTGTGTGTGTGTGTGTTTTGTTACCTGGCTGTAGGTTTGTTATCTGGCCGTAGGTGTATCACCTGGCTGTAGTGTGTTGTTACCTGGCTGTAGTGTGTGTTGTTACCTGGCTGTAGGTGTGTGTGTTGTTACCTGGCTGTAGGTGTGTGTGTTGTTACCTGGCTGTAGGTGTATGTGTTGTTACCTGGCTTTAGATGTGTGTGTGTGTGTGTGTGTGTGCGCGTGTGTTGTTAACTGACTGTAGGTATGTGTGTTGTTACCTGGCTGTAGGTGTGTGTGTTGTTACCTGGCTGTAGGTGTGTGTGTTGTTACCTGGCTGTAGGTGTATGTGTTGTTACCTGGCTTTAGATGTGTGTGTGTGTGTGTGTGTGTGCGCGTGTGTTGTTACCTGGCTGTAGGTGTGTGTGTTGTTAACTGACTGTAGGTGTGTGTGTTGTTACCTGGCTTTAGATGTGTGTGTGTGTGTGTGTGTGTGTGTGTGTGTGCGCGTGTGTTGTTAACTGACTGTAGGTATGTGTGTTGTTACCTGGCTGTAGGTGTGTGTTTTTTACCTGGCTGCAGGTGTGTTACCTGGCTGTGCCCCCCCGTGCTGATGCAGCAGAGGCGGAGTCTGTATGAAGTTCCAGGCTTTAAGCGGTCACATACACACTGGGTAGCTGGTCCGCTGTACGCTACGTCCCACTGATTGGCTGCATAAGAAACAGAGAAATTTCCATCTAAATATGACAAATCTTAAAATAAATGAGATCCACAGCAATGCTTTGGTGTGAAAACAATTACTCTACTTTCCCAACCTTATTCCCAATCAATCATTAATAAAAATCAATCATCAATACAAGTAAATTGTCAGTGTTGTGACAAAACCTTGCATCTCAAAAAAGGTAACCTTGTAGGAGCAAAAAATGTTCTTAACTTTGAATGAAAGTCTTTGAACAAAATTTTATTCCAGATGTTTCGGACTATTTCTGTTTCTGTTTCTGCCACCTATCCTTTACAATGCACATTTAAAAATGATATTAACAAAGAAATAAATGAGAAAAATGAAGATCATAAAAATAAAGTAAAATGAAGTCAGCAAAAAATAATAAAACAAATGAATTAAATGTGAAAAAAATAACAGCAAATTAACAAAATCAATTAAAACATGCAGGTGAGCAAAGGTGATGTCGTCGATCAGGTGAGACATGTTTGGCACTTCTTTAGTTTTAGCACTGAAGCTATGAGGCTATTGTAGCTAACAAGTACCTGAAAATTATACCCCACCAATTAGCGCTGTGCTAAACACAGCTCTTGCCACAAACTCTCATACACTGTCATTTATAGAACTGGACAAAAGTACAGATAAAGTTCAGTCTTCCAGGTGGCTGCTACTGTGTTTAGCTATGCTAATGTACTTTAGTCCATGTTTATAGATAACAGTGAGTCACACAGTCAGAAATCACAGAATCAGGACTATTAGAGACACTGAACACCTCCACACAGTATGAGGCCAGTGATGATTTACACATGATGCTAATTGGTGGGGTAGAAGCTTCCATTACTTCCTCATATCTAGTGTTAAAGCTAAAGAAGTGAACTTCTGACACTAAACACATCTCGATGGACTGGCTACATTTGGGATGGGGTGGGGTGTAAATTTGTTTTGTTTACAGAAGTAGAATATGGCTTTAAAATTCCCAGCATCATTCACCCAAACATTCACACGTTTAGCATCCAAAACAGAACACAGACCACCAGCTTAATAACCAGCAGACCCGGACAGAACAAGGTTAAATACATCTTCATTCTCAGTATTCTTATTCTCGTTTCTCGTTTGTAAGCATCTATGAACAGATTCATAACATATTATGGCATTCATAAGGCATCATAAACATGGCTATAAATATTTATAAAAATGCATTACACGTTATAGCCATGTTTATTATGCATTATGAGTTGCTAACGTCATACATTATAAGTATTGTTTATAAATTATAAGAGCTCATAAGTGGTATTTGTCCGCTCTAAGTAAAGTGAAGCGTACTGTACTAAAGCCTCCTCCAGTGTTCAGAGTGAGGCTTCAAGTTGAAGTATTTACTGAAGGATTTACTGAAACACTAAAACATTCACAGTAAAGCACATTACAGGCTTCAAATGTCAGAGTTTAAACTAGAGCTGCATCAGTGTTTTACCCAATGTGGGAAAGGTAATGTACACCACCGTTAGCTTGGCACTAACTTAACACTGCATATCCAATAGAACGCTAGCAGAAATTAGCATTACTGTACTGTAGTGTAGTGTAGTGTAACAGAGTGAAGGGTTCTAGTGTTTGATGTTAGAACCAGTGAGGGAACACATTACAATGACAGCACTCTACTATCTCGCTTCTCCCTCTCCAGGCCTTCACTCCACAGTGACTTCACGCTCAGTGTGATGTCAGAGGGGGTTCAGGGGAGGGGCTGATGGGTACTTGGTTTGCTGTGATGTAATGTAGTGTTTAAAGTGAGACGCTGGGTAAGAAAAGCTCATTGTAGCAGTGATTCTAGGCTGTTTGCCTGTTTGGAGCATCTGAATATTCAGGACTGAAGCCCTGAAGATGCAGCTCTAACAGCACCAGCACTGAGGAGTAAAATACTGGAAATCTCAGGGTGGAAATAAACTAAGCTGGGACTGACTTTTTTGGCACTGACAGTATAACATGTTATTAACACTACTTATAATGCATTATATTAACAATTCATAATGTATAATAAACATGCTATAAAGTGTAATTCAGTGTAAATTATTTTTAGAAATATTTGTAACCATGTTTATAATATGGTATAATATGGTTTATAGTATGTCGCGTTTAAAAAAAAAAAAGTAATACATTTATTTATACTGGCACAACCCAGCGGAGCTCCTGAAAAGTGGACTCTAATGCTTTTGCTCTGTTGCTGGCAAGATGAAGATTCTCATCTCTCCTCCTCCTCCTTATTCCCTCTGGTTGAGAGATGCTGTTTTCTTTCTGCACCTTGCGAAGATCAGGTTTAGTTTGAGGGGTTCTGGTGCTGGTCATTCTTTTATCCCCCTTTTCAAGTCCCTCCCACAGCTTCCTGCAGAGGACTTGGGTAGGTCCCTCTCTTGAACTCCCTATCCTGCCCACTTATATATATATATATATATATATATATATATATATATATATATATATATACACATATATATATATACACATATATATATATATATACACATATATATAAACTGCTGGATATATACACATATATATAAACTGCTGGAGTTTTAAACACCTCAGTGTCACTGCTGGACTGAGAATAGTCCACCAACCAAAACTATCCAGCCAACAGCGTCCTGTGGGCAGCGTCCTGTGACCACTGATGAAGGACTAGAGGATGACCAACACAAACTGTGCAGCAGCAGATGAGCTATCGTCTCTGACTTTACATCTACAAGGTGGACCGACAAGGTAGGAGTGTCTAATAGAGTGGACAGTGAGTGGACACAGTGTTTAAAAACTCCAGCAGCACTGCTGTGTCTGATCCACTCAGACCAGCGCCACACACACTAACACACCACCACCACGTCAGTGTTACTGCAGTGCTGAGAATGATCCACCACCCAAATAGTACCTGCTCTGTGAGGGTCCATGGGGGTCCTGACCACTGAAGAACAGGGTAAAAGGGGGCTAACAAAGTATCAGAGAAACAGATGGACTACAGTCTGTAACTGTAGAACTACAAAGTGCACCTATATAGTAAGTGGAGCTGATAAAATGGACAATGAGTGTAGAAACAAGGAGGTGGTCATAAAGTTATGCCTGATCGGTGTATATATATATTTGATTTGCATCCTATATGGACGAGTCTCAGCCTGACTTTATTCTGTTTGTTATAAGGTCGAAAAATAAAAACAGCAAAATCGTAAAAGATGATATTTCTTTCAAGTACAGGACACAACATTCAACTTCACTAATGTGGTCTGGAATAGAAGTTTAGAATCTGCACTTTCCACAGTTTCTCCACTCGTTTCAGTCAGAAATAATCCACACAGAATTACAGTGTGTCTTTGTTTTCTCCAGCCACAGCAGCGCCTGCTAAGGGTTAAAGGGGAATATCTGTCTGTGTTAAGGAACGTGGCAGACCAGATGAATCACACCTGAGACAGCTCAGTGCAGAGCAGAGCAGAGAGAGGGACAGATCTGGTGACTCAGTGTGAAAAAACAAAGGAAAGAAAAACTACCCCATCAGGAGGAGATGGTTAGCGCTGCGGTAGAGAGGAAAAATAAAGAACAGCTCTGATAAAATACTGCAGCTTTGCGTCTGATCAGGCCTGGAACGTTAAACTGTAATGATAATATAATATAATAATATAATAACATAATTAATCATTAAATATACAAAGATATCAGTGATGGCTGCCTGTGCTGTATTTGATAAAACGATGATGCAGGTCTGTTCCTCAATCCGGCATTAGCAGCAAAACCTTTGAACAGTTTCTGCTCTGGGATACCAGGTGGTGCTGGGCACCTTTTATGCTGTAAACATGGGGAGGACAAGAAGTCTAGCCATTCACTCACAACTGCCCACACCACATACCCAGCCATTACCATGTCTTGGGATGTCTTAAGACATGTCTAAAAACACATTATGAAGATGTCTTAGGACATATTGAGGCACGTCTTAAGAAATGAAGATGTGTCTTTAGACACGGATCTTAAGATGTCTTGGCTATAACAACATCCCAAGATGTCTCAAGATGTAGGATGCAAAATATTTATCTTTAAATTTTACCTGAATAAATCTTTTACTTTTAAATATGTTTAAGGGAATAATAAAACGTAAACATTATGCACTATTTATAGCAAAAACTCTAGTAAAGAACTGAACTTTTTAAAATTATTTTATTATTTATTCTATGTAGGATGCATAATAGTATGATTTACTTTCATATTTATTATTTTATATTATTTTATAAACATACAAACATTACATACATTAGTACATACTACAGTGATGCATTTCAGAAAAAATTTAACAATAAAACTAATAATAATAATAATAATAATAATAATAATAATAATAATAGCCACATGGTTCCCAGTCTTTAACTTTTTCTACAATGAGCCATTTTATATGAAACCACTAAAAGACAAAGTGATGTCTTTTTTTAAGCACAGTTAGCCGGTGTTACCTGTTTTCAGTTAGCACAGTTAGCAGAGTTAGCTAGTGTTACCTGTTTTCAGTTAGCACAGTTAGCAGAGTTAGCTGGTGTTACCTGTTTTCAGTTAGCACAGTTAGCAGAGTTAGCTAGTGTTACCTGTTTTCAGTTAGCACAGTTAGCAGAGTTAGCTAGTGTTACCTGTTTTCAGTTAGCACAGTTAGCAGAGTTAGCTAGTGTTACCTGTTTTCAGTTAGCACAGTTAGCAGAGTTAGCTGGTGTTACCTGTTTTCAGTTAGCACAGTTAGCAGAGTTAGCTAGTGTTACCTGTTTTCAGTTAGCACAGTTAGCAGAGTTAGCTGGTGTTACCTGTTTTCAGTTAGCACAGTTAGCAGAGTTAGCTGGTGTTACCTGTTTTCAGTTAGCACAGTTAGCAGAGTTAGCTAGTGTTACCTGTTTTCAGTTAGCAGAGTTAGCTAGTGTTACCTGTTTTCAGTTAGCACAGTTCACCAAGTTAGCTAGTGTTACTTATTTTCAGTTAGCAGTGTTACCAAGCTAGCAAAATTTGTCTGGGCCACTTGTGGGCCACATCCTTGGCCCAGTATACGGCTGGGTCCTTGGCTCAGATCTGGCCCACAAGTGGCCCAGACAAATTTTGCTAACTTGGTAACACTGCTAACTGGAAATAAGTAACACTAGCAACCTCTGCTAACTAAAAAGCTTAACATGACTAATTGTAAAGTGTAAAGTGAGTAGAACTAATGAATATGGCCCAAATCTGGCCCAACTTCATTGCTGATCCACAATATTTATGACAGAATTGGCCCTCAAGTTTAGACACGATGCAAAACCATAAGAAGATCTGGCCCTATTGTGGCCCGCATGCCCGGTAATCAACTAACACTCGCATAGGAAAGCCAGAATCGGCCCAGAATGGCCTAGGTAGGTAGGTAGTGGTAGTTATGTTCAGTTTGCAGAATTAGCAAGGGTTAGTTATTGTCAGTTAGCACAGTTAGGTAGGGTCAGTTATTGTCAGTTAGCACAGTTAGCTAGAGTTAGCTATTGTCAGTTAGCACAGTTAGCTAGAGTTAGCTATTGTCAGTTAGCACAGTTAGGTAGGGTTAGTTATTGTCAGTTAGCACAGTTAATTAGCCTGGAGAGCTGCGTTTTGTAACTGTGATAAACTCATTGGTGAATCAGCGATGTGAGCCAATGAATCAGCTGATGAATTGGTTGCTAAATCGGTTGATGAATCAATTGATGAATCAGTGAGGTGGAAATGGAAACGCTCAGAGTCATTTCGGATCATTTCTATGTAAAAGGTATTGACTGAGCACCCTTTTCTAAGAGCTGTGAAAAGTCAGAAACAAAGAGAGATTCCAGAAAAAACATACCAGAAATGTCAGCAAACAGACAGAAATGAGGGCGAAGACTGGCTAAATAAACAAGAACAAACAAACCATCAGCGTCTCCTTCTGAAATCTCCAGGAGGTAAGTCAGGATTTCTGATCCCCCGTTGTCTTGTGGAGGGTCTGCAATGAAAACATAAACATAATATAAATGACATGTGCAGTTATGTATATGTAAGCATGTATAGGTGTGATGGGTGTGGTGTGTACGAACCCCAGGTAACGGTGAAGCTGTAAGGTGTGATTGGTTCCTGAACGCTCGGGCTGGATGGAGGTCCTGGTTTATCTGGACTTGTTGTACAGACCAGAACCTCACTGGGTCCAGTCCTGCCCTCTATACTGGAGGCTATCAGCTACAGCAGAGAGAGACAAGGGGAAAAAGAAGAGAGAAAAAATAATAGAAGAAAAACAGCAGTTATAAATAAATAATTAATATGTGAGGATAACAGTTGATAAAAAGTATATGAGTACAAAGTATATACTGAATACTGCATAGCGGATTCTAAAGACTTCATAGTGGATACTGAATAATTCATAGTGGATACTGAGCAATTCATAGTGGATACTGAGTAATTCATAGTGGATACTGAGTAATTCATAGCAGATACTGAATAGTTCATAGTGGATATTGAGTAATTCATAGTGGATATTGAGTAACTCATAGTACATACTGAATAATTAATAGTAGATACTGAATAACTCATAGCAGATACTGAGTAACTCATACTGGTTACTGAATAATTTGTAGTAGATACTGATTCATTCTTTATTCAGATGATCCTTTAAGCTGTATGTCTTTTAAGAATTTAAAATATATGATGGTTTGAATTTGTTCAACACTGTGTAATCACACAGTTATGTGATGAGTTATTTGATAGTTTTATGATCTTCATTATTCTAAAATGTGAAAAACAGTGCTCAGTTTATGTTGTGTAAGTATGAATATGGAGGCAGAAGAGAGAAGCGCTCCTGAAAAGTGTTTTCAGACGAACAGAGCTGAAGCTCAGACACTGTAAAGGCTCTGGATGTTATTATTCAGCTCTGAATGAAGAGTCTTTAGCCGAGAGATAAACAAGCTCAGCTGAAAACGACACCGTTCAGCGAGAGGCTGCTGAACAGACGCAGTAATTCAGAAACCAAAAGCAGCTGCGCGTGGAGAGCACGGTGTGAACAGAGAACACATGAAACAGCGAAAAGGGTCTCTCAGTCAGAGCAGCGAGGGCTTAGAGGGCTGTTCATTAGAAGAAGACAATAAAGACCGAATCATCAACAGAGACAGACCTGACTTCAGTTAGTAAAGTACAGCTGTAATCACGTAATCTACCGCATACACTGAAGGTCCAAAGGTATCCACACAGTCCTTTAAATGAGTTCAGCTACATCAAAGTGGAACTCCACCAATTTTTCAAAACGTGTCCATAATTAAGTGGTTAAGATGTAATCAGAGCGGTTCAGAGTGGTTCAGAGCGGTTCAGAGCGGTTCGGTGTGAAAAGCTCTGTTCTAGATAAACTTACCGAGTCAGAACTGTTCACAGTGGTGGTGATAGGAACCAGACGTCCACCTCTAAAAGCTCCCTCACAGAAAGTTCCTACATGAAATGGTTATGAATTCACTGCCCGATGACCGAGACACTGTTTTATGATAGTTTAGAGAACTTAAACTCCATTCATGGTGGAGGGATACATGCAGGGCGCTGTGAGGCAAAATAGTCCCCAAAGAAAACTTATTATTTCAGATTTTCCACTATTTTCCATCATCAACATTCCATATAAACCCAGAAGACTCGTGTAGGTTCACTGGTGGTTCTGGATAGTAAATAAAATGTCTATATCTGTGTTGTAGTCATGGCGACCCCTGGTTCCTATCACCACCACTGTAAAGACACCTGAACCATTTCACACCAAACCACTCTGAATCTCTCTGATTACAGCTCAACTATTTAATTATGTATAATTTTTGAAAAACTGGTTCCCTTTTAAGGTCTGTGATGCTCTTTGCAGAAGTAATTTTTAACAACTAAGTTTACTTATTAATAGGTACCTGCTACCGGAGGATTAGTACACCTGTTTCTCTGTGCATGTGAAAATAAAACTCTTGAATCACTGACACAGCTTGTATAATCTCCACAGAAACTGACCAATAGAATGGGTACACTCTGGATCAGCTTCGCACAAGCCTAAGCTCACCATGCCCAGTGCCAAGCGTGGGTTAGAGGGGTATAAGCCCCCAGTATTGGACTGTGGAGCAGTGGAGCCGCTGGAGGTGTCCAGAAGAAATCTGGAACCAAACTTTGTTCTTCAAACTGGCTAGCTGGTCTACAGTATGAACTATGGAAGTAAACAGTGTACAGTGTTGTTAATAAAAGCCGCATGGTGGCCAGTTAAAAAACACACCCATTGCTAACAGGTGAATGAAGTTAAGCACACAGCCTTGCAGTCTCGACAGACAAACACTGGCAGTAGAGGGTCGTACTGATGAGCTCAGTGGCTTTAAACATGGCGCTGTCATAGGATGCCACCTGACACAAGTCAGTTTGTGAGATTTCTGTCCAGCTAGATCTGCCCCGTCAACTGTAAGTGCTATTACTGTGGAATGGAAGCATCAACAGCTCAGCCACGAAGCGCTAAACTCACAGAGTGGAGCCGCCGAGTGCTGAAGAGCACAGTGTCTATCCTCTGTTCCAAACCACCTCTGGAAGCAACATCAGCAAAATAACTGCACATTAGGAGCTTCATGAAATGGGTTTCCATGGCTGAGCAGCTGCACACAAGCCTAAGATCAGAACGCACAATGCCAAGCGTCGGCTGGAGCGGTGTAAAGCACCGCCACTGGACTCTGGAGCAGTGAAACGTATTCTGTGTAGTGACCAATCAGCTTCTCTACCTGTCAGTCTGATGGACGAGTCTGGGTTTGGCGAATGCCAGGAGAACGTTACCTGCCTGACTGCACTGTGCCAGCTGTACAGTTTGGTGGAGGAGGGATGATGATATGGGGCTGTTTTTCAGGGGTTGACCTAGAACCCTTAGTTCCAGTGAAGGGGAATCTTAATGCTTCAGCAGACCAAGACATTCTGGACAGTTGTACACTTCTAACTTTGTGGAACAGTTTGGGGAAGAACCTTTCCTGTTCCAGCATGACTGAGCCCCAGAGCACAAAGCAGCTCCATAAAGGCCTGACTGGGTGAGTTTGGAGTGGAAGAACCTGACTGGCCCTCACAGAGCCCTGACCTCAACCCCATCATACACCTTTGGGATGAACTAGAATGGAGATTGTGAGCCAGACCCCCTCGTCCAGCATCAGTGTCTGACCTCACAAATGCTCTTCTGGATGAATGAGCACAAATTCCAACAGACTCTCTCCAACATCTTGTAGAAGCTTCCCAGAAGAGTAGAAGCTGTTATAGAATGGGATTCATAAAAGCTCCTGTAGGTGTAATGTGTCCCAATATTTTTGTCTGTATAGTATATGTACACGAACAATATGAAGTATCAGCATTAATCCACAATTCTCATATCACTGCAACTGTAAAATTACCATATATAAGCTATATTTATATACTGTGAGGCGTATATGAGAATAATTCCCCGTCTAGCGCTGTAAAGTACTGAGTTTTATGCTCTCTTTACTGTTTATTTTCTGTATGTATGATTTAGTGCTGAGCATTTATCTGCATTATTTACCACATACTGTCACCTGGCCATTTATTTCCCTCATACAGGCCTTATATATAAAACAACTCGCCACTTTTTATCCACAGCTGATATACGATCCTGGAGAAAAACGCTTTCTATATCTGAGTCCCTGAAAAACAAGTAATAAGTAACCAAACCAAAATGACAGTGCAGAACAGCTCTGCTATCTGTTTACTCACAGCAGCACAGACAGCACTGAGTATACGCACAACAACAAACACCATGACCAGACACAGCAGAGATGAAGAACACAATGAAGACTGACAGATAGACAGGTTAACAGACAGACAGACAGAAAGATAGATAAACAGACAGACAGGTAGATAAACAGACAGACAGATAGACAGACAGACAAAAAGACAGACAGATAGACAGACAAACAGACAGACCGACCAGTGGATAGACAGACACGTAGATAAATAGACAGACAGACAGACAGACCAGTTGATAGATAGACACGTAGATAAATAGACAGATAGACAGACAAGTTGATAGACAGACATATAGATAAATAGGCAGACAGACAGACTTGTAGATTAACAGAGAGATAGACAGGTAGACTAACTGACAGACAGACAGACCGGTAGATAAACAGACAGACAGGTAGATAAACAGACAGACAGACAGACAGACAGACAGGTAGATAAACAGACAGACAGACAGGTAGATAAACAGACAGACAGACAGGTAGATAAACAGACAGACAGACAGAGTCTAACTGCTTTAGAAAGAGCGTGAAGGGGATTTTATCCAGAAGCCCTAACAGTGATTAACAGTGACTGGAGGTTAAAGATTATGATGATGATCCATGAGATTTATCTCTATTATCTGTCATGTCAGCTACGAATGATGGCTGAACAGAAGCAGCGAGGATCTATTAGTTTTGACTGATTATTAGTAATGCAGGAATGGACTGATGATTATTAGTATTTAATAATGAACTCACTCTGAATTTGTACTGTGAGCTCCTCTTCAGGCCCTCTACAGTACAGCTCAGGCTGTCTCCAGTGTACTTCGGGTGGAACTCAGCTCCCTGAAAATCAGCACACAGAGATACACAGAGACATCAGCACAGACACAGCACAGCCTCTAATCATACAATCACATCATCACAATATCAGCACAGACACAGCACAGCCTGCAATCATACAATCACATCACAACATCAGCACAGACACAGCACAGCCTGCAATCATACAATCACATCACAACATCAGCACAGACACAGCACAGCCTGCAATCATACAATCACATCATCACAACATCAGCACAGACACAGCACAGCCTCTAATCATACAATCACATCATCACAATATCAGCACAGACACAGCACAGCCTCTAATCATACAATCACATCATCACAACATCAGCACAGACACAGCACAGCCTCTAATCATACAATCACATCATCACAATATCAGCACAGACACAGCACAGCCTCTAATCATACAATCACATCATCACAATATCAGCACAGACACAGCACAGCCTGCAATCATACAATCACATCACAACATCAGCACAGACACAGCACAGCCTGCAAGTCATATAATCACATCATCACATCATCACATCAGCACACAGAGACACACACACACACATCAGCACATACACAGCACAGCCTACAAATCATATAATCACATCATCACCTCATCAGCACAGACACAGCACAGCCTGCAAGTTATATAATCACATCATCACCTCATCAGCAGACACAGCACAGCCTACAACTCAATCACATCATCACCTAATCAGCACAGACACAGCACGGTCTACAACTCAATCACATCATCACCTAATCAGCACAGACACAGCACGGTCTACAACTCATACAGTCACATCATCTCATCAGCACACAGAGACACACACATCTGCACAGACACAGCACAGTCTAAAACTCATAATCACATCACATCATCAGCACAGAGATACACACACATCTGCACAGACACAGCACAGCCTAAAACTCATATAATCACATCACATCATCAGCACCGAGATACACACACAGATCAACACAGACACAGCACTCAGCACAGTCACATCATCAGCACAGCCTACAACTCATACAATCACATCATCACATCATCAGCACACAGAGACACACGCACACAGCACAGTCTAAAACTCATATAATCACATCACATCATCAGAACACAGAGACACACACACACACACACAGCACAGTCTTCATTATCATTCACATCATCACCAAACACAGCTCTGTCTACTGACACATTACTGAGTCTAAACTGAATTAATGAATAAATTAATTGATTAATTAACACTTCAACTTAGTGGAAGTAGAAGGTAGGTGTTTCTAATAAAGTGGCCAGTTTGTGCCAGTATAAGGTAGGTGTTTCTAATAAAGTGGCCAGTTAGTGGAAGTACAAGGTAGGTGTTTCTAATAAAGTGGCCAGTTAGTGGAAGTATAAGGTAGGTGTTTCTAATAAAGTGGCCAGTTAGTGTATTCTCTTTAATATAATCATTATTAAAGTAATGAATTCCTTTCACTGCTTTGTAACAGCTGCTAATTATAATCTGTGCTGATAAAACTATTTGAATCTGAATCTGTTTCTCTGTAAAAGCTCTGATATCCAGACTGAGTGCAGTGTTGGAGAGGGTCGTACGTTGCTGTCCTCCTGGATCTCCAGCGTGTAAGTGAGGGGCTCCTCGGCGCTGCAGCCGTCCGGCCGGCTCCACTCCAGCATGATCCAGCTCACTCCAGCACGAACCAGCCGAGGAACGCCGGGCAGATGAGGCAGAGAACCGCTCGTACAGAACACCACCTCCGGGCTGAAGGAGCTGAGAGAGAGAGAGAGAGAGGTGTAGTGACAGTGAGAGTGAGAGAGGTGGACTCTCACATGTGCAGCAGATCCTTTAGGTTATACTTCAAACTTGATATCATAAAGGAAGTTCTAATAAAATGAACATATTTGGAGATGAAGATCAAATCTCAGGCAGATAACTTTCCAAGAAATGACTGTAAACAGACAATTACAGTATATTATTTCATTTAACAAGTTTATGTTCCCAAAAACCTTCTATTGTAATTTTACACATCTTAAAATGCGTTCTGCTGTCTAGCTTATAGCATTTCATCAACACTGTACATGATATTATTGCATAAAATGACAGCAATCATTAATATGACCAGTGATTGCGAACTTTTGAACTACTGTGTACAGCAGTTAGCTCTGCCCATTTGCCTTCTGAGTCAGTCAAAATGACCATGAAGTTATTCATTTTTCAGCATCAGAAAGAAAGTAGAAAACAAACAGTAGTGTGGAAAAGTTTCAGGTGCCTAAGCACTTCATTTAAAACCAGTTATCCTGGGATAAGTGTGTTTATCACTACAATACATTCAAATAAACATAAACACAGTGAAAAGTAATGAGAGCTTCTGCGTAGTAGAAATACTGTGAGCTAGTCTGATGGACTCCAACCTCCAAAGTTCAGTCTTAGAAGCTGGTTGATCATTTTCTGAAGTAATCAAACACATTCAGTGGTGTTGAGGTCTGGACTCTGGGGCGGTCAGTCCATCGTTCAGCTTCTGTGTTTGATGTGTCCGTCTCCTTTTCTCAGTGAGGTTCTTCTTGATCAGCTACACATCCTTTCAGACCCACAGCGCTGAGTCGTCTTCTCACAGTGGAAGGATGGACAGAAACACCTGTGGATGTTTTCAGATCTGAAGCAGCTTGATTTTCTCCTCTCTCTCAGAGATGAAAGCTTTAAGTGCTGTTTATCTGATGGGGGCAGTTTTGGGGTCGGCCAGCTCTTCCAGGTGGTTGTTAGGAGCCACATTTTCTCGGGAGCTTTTAATCAGTCTCTGAACTCCAGTTTTAGAAACTCCTGTTCTTTTTTTTTGTCCTTCTCTATGAAAGTGAGCTCATCTCGTACCTGATCTCTTCTGAAATATTCCCTGAGAAATCTACAACGTGGACTTAACGGCTGTTTTGGAAATGAAATAAAGAGTCTCTTGACTTTTGCACTGCGCTGTATCAGTCCCAAAGGCGCAGTAACAGACACAGCCTCTTTAGTAATCATGTAGAAATGAACTAGGACTGTTTTTGGTTCATAAAAACACAAATTCAAATCATGCTTTAAGCAAACACTACTTCTCCGTGTGCAAAGCAGCTTTTTGTATATTTTCATGATGAATTTTGGAGAGTTAAGAGAATGGCTGGTGCATACGAACATTTCAGAGTGTTTCGCTTGCAGCGTCTGATATTAAACCCTGCCCCCCCTCCACACTGACATTTTCATTCAGTTTAAATCTGAGTGATTGAGTTTACGGCCGCGCAGAAACGCAATACACGTACACATCCCCGCAGGCCATAAAGAAACAGAATTACAGCCCCGCAGCCCAAACGGCCGGACCCACAGTTTCACCCTCATTCTCCTCAAACGCACTCAATCCGATTCTCTAACATTAAAATGTCCTGGATAGTCTCCAAACCGCTCGAGCTCTGAATACAAAACGACTTTTCCCACTTAAAGAGCTTATTAAAAAAGTTTAGAGCCGGGAGCTCAGGTTCCTGCCAGAGTTTCAACCTTCAGACAGACACTCCTCCTGCATTAAAGCAACAGTTTGGCAAAAAAACCCCACACATTTCCCGGTTTTCCTCCTTTATGTGTCTGAAGTTTGCTTCTCTAGTTTTAGCATCAGAGCTACGAGGCTACTGTAGCTATTAGCCACCAATAAGCATGGTGCTACCTGCCTGCGTAAATCATCACACGCTTTCCTCAAAGCATGAGGAGGTGTTCGGTGTCTCTAATAGACTCGATTATGTGGTTTCTGATGCTGAGTGACTCATTGTTATCTACAGGGAGATTCACTTGAAAGAGGCCCTGAATATTCTGTAATAACTCTCTCTGGGACGAAGCAATCTGAACAAAACAACGTGCAATGTGCTCCTCAGTATGTGGAGCTTCGAACAAGCCGGGATGCCCCTGCGTCGGAGTGATGAGGTAGGCGCCGGACAGCCGTTGCAACGTGTAACCTCCGTTTGCAACTTCCAGGTGCAAACCCCCTGTACCCCTTCATGTGTCTGGCAGAAAACGGGGATCACTTCCAGCACCGCATGTAATGCAATCGATTACACACACATCAAGATATGTAGAGTATTTTTTGGTTCAGATCGCTTCACCCTAACAGGAGTTACAACAGAATATTTCGGGGCCTCTTTCGAGTGAATCTCCCTGTATTAACATGGACTAAAGTACATTAGCAAAGCTAAAAACAATAGCAGCCACCTGGGAGACTGAATTTAGTCCATACTTTGGTCCAGTTGTATAAATAACAGCGTATGAGAATTTGAGACAAGTTTATGCGAGTTTGCTGATTTGGGTATGCAGTTAGCACTATGCTAATTGGTTGAGAGTAAACCCCCATTACTTGTTAGCTACATTAGCCTTGTAGCTCCAGTACTAAAACTACAGAAGCAAACTTCAGACACCAAACAGGTCTTTTTAGTTGATTTTAGTTGTTTTACTACTTTTGTTTTGCTCTTTTTTGCCATCTCCACTTGTTTTACTTTGTTGTTTTATTGTTTTTTTTTCATTGTTTTACTAAAACAATTCTGTGACAGAACAGATCAAATTACCTCACCATTAAACCGTCAGTAATACAGCGTTAGAAGCTTCCCTGTGCTGGAATATAAGTAGCTTAACCATTCGGCTAAACAGCCAATTACAAAACAGCCAAATGAACGTCTCAAAAACGACTCAATCCTGAACTACTAACCTGCAAAAATGCTTAAAACGTGCTGACTGGTCTCACTGGTCTGTGTGTAAAACACACACTGCAAAAAATAGTATCTTTACAAGTGGAAACTTCTTAAATTTAGTCAATAAATCTCATATTTCTCATTATGAGACTGTTGTAAGAATATAAGATTATTCCACCTGTTTCTGTACAATTTTCCTTGATTTAAGTGATTTTATCTATTGAAAGTAACATGATCTGCCAATGGAGCAAAACACTTTTATAAGATAAAACTGCTTAAAAACAAGTAAAAATGTCTAGAAATAAGTTAAACAATCTCACAATGTTCTTACAACAGTCTCGTAAATAGAAATATTAGATTTATTGACTACATTTAAGAAGTTTCCACTCACTAAGATATCATTTTTTTGCAGTGTAGACTTTAAGCTGAAATGTGTGAAGCAGTGCTGACCACTGTCTGGCCACCCCAGAAGCCATCCCAAAATTTCTGCCAAGAATAAAACGTTATTCTCTGTTCATATTACTCCTGCGTTATTGTTCTGCTATGCAGTGTCGTCCAGAGGAGGATGGGTTCCTCTTCTGAGTCTTGGTTCCTCTCAGTGTTTCCTCCTCTTGCTCTTAGGGAGTTTTTCCTTGCCACCGTTGCCACTGGCGACGCTCATGGGGGCTCAGACCCGGATTTTTTTTGTAAAGCTGCTTTGTGATAACGGCTGCTGTAAAAAGTGCTGTAGAAATAAACTTGATGTCATTGGTTTCCACCTCGCTGTACTCACTTTCTCACTGCGAGTACGTCTCTTCTGTAATGCTTTGTCTTTAAGGGGAGAGTAAGTTGGCAATGGGCTAAACAACCGTTAAACTCCCTCCAAGCTCCCTCTTTCTCCATGCCACCACTTTACCACCCCTGGTGAAAACTGCCACTGCCCCTACTCAACCGCAGCTCCTACTGCAGAGCCGTTCTCCTTAACACATTAGCGTTTGTGGCCTTTTTTAAGTATAAGTTCTCTCAGGGGACGAGAGGCGATCACCAGTCGGCGGTAGCTCTTGGTGCGCCTGGGGCCAAACATGTCTCGGCTGATGGACTACATTTAGTGTACAGCGGGAGGAAAAACTGGGCACATGTTTTGTCAAACTATCAGTTTAATGGGAGGCAGCAGAGGGGCAGAGAGATGAGAACGAGTTCAGAGCGAAGAGAGCAGCCGGAGAAAAACACAACATACTTCACCCTGATAGCCTTTAGAGAGGGAGACGACCACGGACAGCAGGAGACGGTGAGGAACAACCACAGATTAAAACTCAACCAGAAAGAGAGAGAGAGAGAGAGAGAGAGAGAGAGAGAGAGAGAGAGAGAGAGATAAGAGAAAAAAGGAGAAAGAATAAACAGAGGAACAAAGAGAAACAGAATGAAAGACAGAGAGAAAGACTAAGTCTGAGGTACCACTGACTGTACCGAGATTGAGAACCCTTTGACCCTATTGAGTCTGAGGAACCACTGACCTTACTGAGAATGAAGAGCCATTGACCTTACTGAGTCTGAGGAACCATTGACCCTACTGAGTCTGAGGAACCATTGACCTTACTGAGTCTGAGGAACCATTGACCTTACTGAGTCTGAGGTACAACTGACTGTACCGAGATTGAGAACCCTTTGACACTACTGAGTCTGAGGAACCATTGACCCTATTGAGTCTGAGGAACCATTGACCTTACTGAGTCTGAGGAATCATTGACCTTACTGAGTCTGAGGAACCATTGACCTTACTGAGTCTGAGGAACCATTGACCTTACTGAGTCTGAGGAACCATTGACCCTGCTGAGTCTGCGGAACCATTGACCATACTGATAATGAAAAAGCATTGACCCTACTAAGTCTGAGGTACCATTGACTCTATTGAGATTGAGAACCCTTTGACACTACTGAGTCTGAGGAACCATTGACCTTACTGAGTCTGAGGTACCACTGACTGTACCTAGATTGAGAACCCTTTGACACTACTGAGTCTGAGGAACCATTGACCCTATTGAGTCTGAGGAACCATTGACCTTACTGAGAATGAAGAACCACTGACCTTACTAAATCTGAGAAACTATTAACCCTACTGAGTCTGAGGAACCATTGACCCTACTGAGTCTGAGGAACCATTGACCTTACTGAGTCTGAGGAACTACTGACCCTACTGAGAATGAAAAAGCATCGACCCTACTAAGTCTGAGGTACCACTGACTCTACTGAGATTGAGAACCCTTTGACCTTACTGAGTCTGAGGAACCACTGAGTCTAAGGAAACAGAGAACCGATTTCATCCTGGAACTTTTGGAAGAAACCAATAGCACAGGGAAAGGGGGTGTGGCTTTTTGAGATATCTATGACATAATTCCTTGACTCATAAAATGACCATAGCTACATATTATACAAAATAATAGTAATGAAATAAAACAAAACTACACAAATTACAGATATCGAAAATCTGGTGGGTCATGTGTCCCGGCAGCTTGAATGGGTATGATGATTGACTGAACTGATCCTCAGTTCCAGCATTCAATATTACTGTCTCTGTTCCATACAAACACATTCCAAAAGACTCAGACTCAACACGCTGTGAGCTGGAGGTCCTCACCTGGTCCCGATGTCGTTCCTCGCTGCTACTCTGAATGTATACGCCATGGCTGGACACAGTCGCGTCAGCTTGTAGTGCCTTTGGCTCCCAAAGTAACATTCTCGGAAAACGTTGTTCTTTTTGCCCTGCAGAAAACAGAAAGAGGGTTAGAGGACACTCAGCGACAATAAAACAGCCTGCAGCACTTTAGCTCCGCCCACCAAAACTGATGTCATAAGGAGTATTTTAGCCCGGGCTGTTTTTTTGAATGAGACACAATATAGGACAACCAATCAGAACAAATGTGTGCTTCAATGCATCGAATAATCAAAGGCAAGATATGAATGGTCCATAAACTTCTTTGATGCCTGCTAAGGCAGACTGGTTCGGTCTAGGATGATTAGGTTCAGGTTTTTAAGTTTAGTGTGTTGTCTTTGTTCATCTCAGCTGTCTGATATGAACTCGGTTATGTTGTCTTCTTTGTGCAGAAGTTAACAGATGCTTTATAGTGAAATGCTGCAGTGTTGGTTGGGTTTAACCCAGTATTCTGGTTGATGTGTAGGGTCTTGCTATTGCTTTGTATCACTACAGGGGGGCTCAAGTGTTGAAACAGGTAGGGCGATAACTGCACGGCTGTCAGCAATGGACTCTTTTCATACTTCCATGTTCCAGTCAGCGGAAGTCGTTATAGGAGTAGTCCATCTGTTTCTCTGCATACTTTGTTAGCCCCCTTTTACCCTGTTCTTCAGTGGTCAGGACCCCCATGGACCCTCACAGAGCAGGTACTATTTGGGTGGTGGATCATTCTCAGCACTGCAGTAACACTGACGTGGTGGTGGTGTGTTAGTGTGTGTTGTGCTGGTCTGAGTGGATCAGACTGGTGTTTTTAAACATTGTGTCCACTCACTGTCAACTCAATTAGACACTCCTACCTTGTCAGTCCACCTTGTAGATGTAAAGTCAGAGACGATAGCTCATCTGCTGCTGCGCAGTTTGTTTTGGTCATCCTCTAGTCCTTCATCAGTGGTCACAGGACGCTGCCCACAGGACGCTGTTGGCTGTATATTTTTGGTTGGTGGACTATTCTCAGTCCAGCAGTGACACTGAGGTGTTTAAAAACTCCAGCAGCACTGCTGTGTCTGATCCACTCGTACCAGCACAACACACACTAACACACCACCACCACGTCAGTGTTACTGCAGTGCTGAGAATGATCCACCACCCAAATAGTACCTGCTCTGTGAGGGTCCATGGGGGTCCTGACCACTGAAGAACAGGGTAAAAGGGGGCTAACAAAGTACGCAGAGAAACAGATGGACTACAGTCTGTAACTGTAGAACTACAAAGTGCACCTATATAGTCATAGCCAATTTAGTCGTCTCCAATTCCACCCGCTAGTTAGGACTCCCCCAATCACACGATGCTATCAACGCTAGGAGGGCGAGGCTAACACAGGCTTCCTCCGAGACCTGTGAAGCCAGCCACCGCTTTCTTTTCGAGCTGCCGCTCACGCAACGTCACTGGACAGCTTAACGTGCTCGGAGGAAAGCGCCAACCGCCAGATCTGTTACGTCAGCTAACAGACGCCTGCGCTGACTATCATCGCGCTGAGTGATGGGGGGAGAGGGGGGGCCATCCTACCCACCCAGAGAGAGCGAGGCCAATTGTGCTCTCTCGGACTCCCGGCTACGGACGGCTGTAGCATCACCAGGGATCGAGCTCACGATCTCCTGATGAGGGACAATGCTTAGACGGTTGCGCCACTCGGGAGCCCGTGTAATTCATTTTTATAAATGTTTAGAATCATGTTTATAATGCCGTATGAATGCAGTATAACATGTTATAAATACGTTCATAGATGCTTACAAACGTAACATTCATAGAAAGTGTTACCCCCACTTTTTCACAGTCCTACTCAAAAATGTATTTCTGCCACTGGATTCTGTCTCTCTCGATACGAGTGCTGTAAAGGTAAGTTTGATTGACGATCATACTGTCCTTTTTTCCCTGGGCGAAACAGAAGAGCAAGCTTTACCTCGTCCCACTCTAAAAGGTAGCTGGTGATCTTCGATCCGTTGTCGACAGGAGGCTGAGGGGAGAAAAATGAAGACGTCACATGAAAAAAGGAAGATGTTTATTCCCATTACGACTCTAATTTCCTCTTCAGATGAGTTACGCAACCGGCACGTCCATCTGTGTCCTGAAGCAGAGAATTCAACCAGCAGGAGAGACAGATAAAAGCCCTCATTCAGCGAGTTAGAGGGGCTTTTAATGAGGCAATCTCACCACCTCATGATAAAACCCCTTTCTGATGATGATGCACAGTCATTTGAAGGCGTGTACTACAGTGTTGTGAACGCAATTCCACTCCATATAGATTGTGATGCACTTTGATGGACAATCTTCCAAATAACTCCAGCAATTACTCTAATTTCTCCTTTCATTAACAAGTCCGTCAGCAGCAGGTGGTTTTTCAGAGATGAGAGCATCAAACGATGACACTTCAGAGTTAAACTGAAGAGAGAATGCTCAGAATTTTGCTGTGTGAGAATCATAATCAGAATTACATCATTAACAAAGTTCATTAGCGCGTCTTCACTGTAAGAACTTTCACTGTAAATTTACCGTAAAAATACAGGCTCCTAGTTGTGTTACTTTGACAGTAATTTACTGAACCACGTTAACAGTAAATACCAGTGACTCCACACTCATCTGCACCTTCAGATTACTGTGATGGAGCTGCTATTCTGCTATAAACTCACAGTAATAAACTGTAATTAAATTACAGAAATATCCTGTATTTTTACACAACAGCTGTAAAAGTAATGCAACTCAGTAACCAGTAAACTACTTTGAATTTACATACAAAAATGACTTAATTATCCGAGCCTATAAATGTTAATAAAATAAAGAGAAAGATATATTATAATAAATCCAAAGACTTTATCAATGTACATATTTATTCGCCATTCTTAGCACTATATATATGTTTTAACTTTTTGCACAAATGTAACCAAAAACTCACATTTGGTAATATCAATAAATAATGCTATTTTATGAGAACACTTCAGTGTTCCAGCATATAACCAATCAGAAAATGGCTTATGAAGAGGTTATTTCACAACAAAATGATGAATACAGTATTGTGGCCTGAAAAAATGAGCATTATATATGGCCAAAAGTATGTAGGCACCCTTCCCAACTGAGTTCAGGTGTTTCAGCCACATCCTTTGCAGCACATAGTCATGCAGTCTCCATACACAAACACTGGCAGTAGAATGGGCCGCACTGAAGAGATCAGGGACTTTAAAAGTGGCACTGTTATAAGATGCAACCTTTGCCACAAGTCAGTTTGTACAAATTTCTATCCTGCTAGATCTGCCCTGGACAACTGTAAGTGCTATCATTGTGCAATGGAAGCACCTGGGGGCGACAACAGCTCAGCCATGAAGTAGTAGACCATGGACACTCATGTTAGGAGCTTCATGAAATGGGTTGCCATGGCTGAGCAGCTGCACACAAGCCTAGGATCACTATGCGCACTGCCAAGCGTCAGCTGAAGGGGTGTAAAGCGCCACCACTGGACTCTGGATCAGTGGAATCGTGTTCTCTGGAGAGATGAATCAGCTTCTCTATCTGTCAGTCTGATGATGAATCTGGGTTTGGTGGATGTCAGGAGAACGTTACCTACTGGAATGCACAGTGCTGACAGTAGAGTTTGGTGGAGGAGGGATGATGGGCGGGGCTGTTTTTCAGGGTTTGGGCTCTCAGTTCCAGTGAAGGGTGATGTTGATGCTGCAGCACAAAGACATTTTACACAGTTATCTGCTTCCAGCTTTGTGTCAGCAGTTTGGGGAAGAGCCTTTCCTGTTCCAGCATGACTGAGACCCTGTGCACAAAGCAGCTCCATAAAGACATGGAGTGACCAGTTTAGTGTGGAGGAACTCCAGTGGCCCTCACAGAGCCCTGACCTCAACCCCACTGAACACCTTTGGGATGAACTAGAACGGAGATTGTGAGCCAGGCCCTCTCGTCCAACATCAGTGCCTGACCTCATAAATGCTCTCTTGACTGAATGGGCTCAAATTCCCACAGTCACTATCCAACATCTTGTAGAAGCTTCCCATAAGAGTGGAAGCTGTTAGAGCCACAAAGGGGGGCGACTCCATAATATGGCCCACGGATCTGGAATAGGACGTCCAACAAGCTCATATAAGTGTGATGGTCAGGTGTCCACATACTTTTGGCCGTACAGTGTACACACACTGGTTGAGCGTACGTGTCCTACCTTCCACTGCAGTGTGAGGGAGTTTTTGGTGCGGTGGGTGAGTTTCGGGGGTGAAGGACAGTCTGGGCTGCTGCTGTGTGTTGTAAAAGTTCCAACCTCTGAACATGAGCCTTTAAACGTATTACACACTGCGTTCACTCTGAGGGGGAAAAAACACATACATGAATAAATACAACACATAAAATTACTACCTATTGTTTTAATGTTATTTGTAACTTGTGTAACTTTTGCATAAAACTGTGCATTTAAATTATTACTGTTCATTTATTATTACTGTTATTTTCATTATTATTACATCTATTACATGATCATTATTATTGTTGATCATTATTATTGTTGTTGCTGTTATTACTATTATTATGTACTTTTGTTATTCTAATATTCTTAGTATATGTGACATTTTTATGTTAATATAAATAATGTATGGAGCAAACGTAATGTATAAACTAATGGACACCATCGTCATCAGAACAAAACCGCAAAATCTCCATTTTTGATGTTTTTTTTTCCACACATTGAAAAATGGGGACGGGCAGTTTGGATTTAGTTAAGGCTTTTAACTCAGGGTTTAATTCTTTTTGTTATTTCAATGCTTTGATAACTTTTAATTAAGAAATAAGAACAACCCCTGATGAGCAGGTGTGTCCAAACTTTTGAGTAGAACTGTACACAGTCTCGCTCTGCCGAGGCAGAGAGGCGGATACATGTATCACACTGACCTTTACTGCTGAGCGACGTACTGAGATTGATTAAACAGAACTAATGGACCACAAATTATCAATACATCTGAAAAAACTGCTAACTGCTATAACCTATTCAGATTATACACAAACAAAAAAGCTTTTAGATCAAAATGCCTTTCAGATTTGAAATGAACTTTTGAACTTCAATCCATAGTAAACTTTGACATTTTGTTTTCTAAATTTGAGATTTAATTTTTCTTCACTGACTTTTGTCTTTTGAGCTCACTGTTCAGTAACAACCTTGTGTTAGATGTGGCAATAAATTCAGAAAAACATGTATTTAATCAGTGTTTTGAAGCTTTATCCAAAGTGGTAATGTTTCTATATTAAGGTAAATAATAATAAGGTTTTCTGCAGTCGTACCGTACGTGGTAATCTGTAGCGGGTCTGAGATCCTTCAGCGTGCACTCCAGCTCCTCACCACTGAAACACATCACACATGAAGGAACACTGTTAAAACACTGCTGAACGGTTAGTCTTAAACAGCAGAAGAACCCTCAGTTACTATTACTACTCACATATAAACACATAATTACAGAACTAATTACACAGAAGTTCTGTAAAGAATTCTATTTAGATTTGAGTCTGCACGTCTGACTTAGTTCTCTTTGTTTTAACGTCCAAAATTAACAAAAATGTTTATTTTTTTTTCTTTCTGCAAAACTAGACTGAATACACAACAACACATTTTAATCAAACTCAAATCATAATAAAATATCTCTCCTTCTCCTTATAAACAGTAGCACTAACTAACCCTGGTATGGATGGAAAGGTTATAATCTAGACTTGTCAAAATTAAGATAATTAACATATGAGAACATTGTTATTTATGCCTTATGATACAACTTATAAGGCTTAAAAAGCAGTCTGAATATTTGACAAATCTGAACGGAATCAAATAAATGAAAACAAACAAAGCTTTAGATTCAAGAATCCAGAGTCAGCACCATGAATAAACTTCTCCGAAGCTATAATTGCTTTTGATTATGCAAAATATTTATGCAAAACTCCAATCACACCCGATCTGAATTGGAGACACGTTCTACAATCATATTACTTCAAGCTGTTCAACTCACAGGAAAAAAAGTGACTCATTCTGTGTGAATAGATTAACTTTTCTTCAGGTAAAATGTTCTAAATGAGACGTGTCCCCATTTCAACCCCACATAAAACTTCCCAGAAAAACTACAGAATAACTTCGGAAATGTTTCATTTTAACGTTTCAAACATGTTTTCCAATTAGCTGCTGCTACTATGCTGAAAGAAAATGTGCACACAGTTTCTAACACACACTATATGGCCAAAAGTACGTGGACACCTGCCCATCACACCTCTATGAGCTTGTTGGACGTCCCATTCTAAATCCATGGGCATTAATATGGAGTTGCCCCCCTTCGCAGCTCTAACAGCTTCCACTCTTCTGGGAAGCTTCTACAAGATGTTGGAGAGAGTCTGTGGGAATTTCTGTCCATTCATCCAGAAGAGCATTTATGAGGTCAGACACTGATGTTGGACGAGAGGGTCTGGCTCACAATCTCCGTTCTAGTTCATCCCAAAGGTGTTTGATGGGGTTGAGGTCAGGACTCTGTGCAGGTCACTTGGGTTCCTCCACACCAAACTGGTCACTCCATGTCTTTATGGAGCTGCTTTGTACACAGGGGCTCAGTCATGCTGGAACAGGAAAGGCTCTTCCCCAAACTGCTGACACAAAGCTGGAAGCAGATAACTGTGTAAAATGTCTTTGTGCTACAGCATCAACATCACCCTTCACTGGAACTGAGAGCCCAAACCCTGAAAAACAGCCCCGCCCATCATCCCCCCTCCACCAAACTGTACTGTTGGCTCTGCATTCCGGTAGGTAATGTTCTCCTGACCTCCACCAAACCCAGATTCATCATCAGACTGACAGACAGTGAAGCTGATTCATCACTCCAGAGAACACGGTTCCACTGCTCCAGAGTCCAGCGGTGGTGCTTTACACCCCTCCAGCCGACGCTTGGCATTGAGCATAGTGATCTTAGGCTTGTGTGCAGCTGAAACCCATTTCATGAAGCTCCTGATGCTCAGTTTTTGTGCTGATGTTGTTCCAGAGGCAGACTGGATCTCCATAGTGAATGACGCGACAGAGGATAGGTGATTTGTATATGATACACGCTTCAGCACTTGGCGGCTCACTCAGTGTCTACTGCTTCATGGCTGAGCTGTTGTTGCTCCATTTCCACAATAATAGCACTTACAGTTGACAGGGTAGATCTAGCAGGACTGAAATTTCATGAACTGACTTGTGGCAGAGGTGGCGTCCTATGACGTTGCCATATTCAAAGTCTCTGAGCTCGTCAGTACGATACATTCTACTGCCAGTGTTTGTCTATGGAGACTGCAATGTTATGTGCTTGATTTTATGCACCTGTTAGCAATGAGTGTGGCTGAAACACCTGAACTAAACACTTAGGAGGCGTGTCCACATACTTTTGGCCATATAGTGTATATAACATTTTGCTGCTGTCAGCACAAACCCTTATATCTCCATTTTTGTTTTCATTTTGTTTTTCATTTTTGACTTAATCTGAAAATATCAGTTGTGCTTTACATTGTATTAAAATGTCATGATGAACACAATAGGAATGTTTCAAAATATTGTAAAAGATTGTAGAAAACAATCTGGTTTCATTAACTTCCATTCGAAATTAAAAGTGTAAAGTTACCGTTTTGGAGATACAAGGTTTTGTTGCCATAGCAACAGTGCATATTTGTTTTTAAAATTAAATGTCTGGTGAACCAAAACCAGGAAGCCTTTATTTCTGTGGGTGAACATGAATAAATGTGTTGAGCATGTTTTGCTCTGAGTGCATCATTAACAGACTTCTGTACAAACAAAGGTAATATGTGGTGTCCCACAAGGTTCTGTTCTAGGACCACTATTATTGTTATTATATCTCTTATAATACATTATAATTTGCAATAACAATTTATTTGGATAATTTACCATGGGCGGGGGGGGTATAAAATTTGTCCTGTGCAAAAGTTATGGCACATTTAGTATTTTATATATGGCTTTTCTCTATAATTTAAACTCGATGCCACTGTTGATTCAATCTGTCCTAAGACATGAAATACAAATAAAAATATAAAAATATAATTCAGGCCTTTATTACCCCAAGATTGGACTACTGTAAAAAAGCCTAAACAAGCTTCAGTTAGTGCAGAATGTGGAAGCCAAAGTTATAAGTCTGACAATATTAGTGCTGTTTTTTAACATTACATTGGTGGCCAGTTCAATTGCATATCGCTTACAAAATTCTGCTATTTTAATATAAAACAGTGGTATGATATAAAACTAAGTGGCCTTCTTTCCCCTCAGTACCTGAACTTATGTCCTCTTATGAACTGCCAATCCTACTCAGACCACAGAAAGCTGGCTCTCAATTAGAACCTAGAAGCTACAGCAGGAGGAAGAGCTTTTTCTGGAGACCACAGCTTTGGAATGACCTTCCAGTCAGTGCTCAGGACTCTCATTGTGTCCTAACAGCAAGTGAGTGTCCAGTGTAGTATTGCATCATGATGCAAAGCTTTCAGGATGTCTACAGCAAGTGTGCATGTGAACGCAACGTAAACAAACCACAGGCCTACCAGAAAACAGCTCAAGACCTCAACTGAAATGGGTGAGTACCCTCGCTACCCTATCTATTACCAGCATATAAACTTTTTATTGAGACGTTTTATTGAGATTTATCTTACTTTTTGTTCTCATATGTGTAAATAAGCAGTTTGTTTGGTGTTAGAGATCCTCTGCTCACAGCTGGAGTCCAGGGCGTCATTGATTATAATCGAGTGTTTTGGTTGCACTTTCATGTGCAACGATCACAAACACCAGAGTGTGTGGGTTAAATGTTAAAGATGTTGGCATCTAATGCAGTCTGTCAGGCCGGCCAGCATAAGGTGACCAACTTCAGGCCCCACTACCCCTCAAGATGGACCTGACAGAGCAAATGTAAAAATGTAACTTTAGGGTGGACTTTCCCTTTTACCTGTGTTTGCTCTTACCTGTAGATGAGGCGGAACTTGCCGTCGCGGCCTTTGTCTGATAACGTGACCTCATAGGTGCAGGTGTACGGGTGACCGTTACTGAGCCTGTCTCTGTTCTGGAGGCCGGCAGGGGGCGTCCACCTTAACCTGGCTGTCCGAGCCTGCACGCTGCACACCTGCACAAAACAAAACAAAACAAAACAAAATAAAAACAATAACATCATAACACATACCTGTACACACAATAACAACATCTTTACAGACCTTTATACCACACAACTGCACACAAAACACACCTTTATAGGACCCAACTGCACACAAAACACACTTTATAGCACCCAACTGCACACAAAACACCTTTACACCACACACCTGAACACAAAACACACCTTTACACTGCTTTAGAGCTCACACCTGCACACATCTTTACATCACACACCTGAACACAAAACACACCTGAACACAAAACACACCTGAACACAAAACACACCTTTATACCACACACCTGCCCACAAACACACTTTTATACACCTTTATACCACACACCTGCCCACAAAACACACCTTTATACCACACACCTGCCCACAAAACACACCTTTATACACCTTTATACCACAAACCTGCCCACAAAACACACCATTATACCACACACCTGCACACAAAACACACTTTTATACACCTTTATACCACACACCTGCCCACAAAACACACTTTTATACACCTTTATACCACAAACCTGCCCACAAAACACACCATTATACCACACACCTGCACACAAAACACATATGTACACTGCTTTATAGGTCCATGTTTGAATATTTGAAATTTACTTGGCTAAAAATCTAAAAAAAAGAAAGAAAAAAAAAGAAATACATTTTGTAAAAAAAATATTTTTTAAAATAGCAGAGGAGATACAGACCAGACCAGACCAGACCAGACCAGACCAGATAAACACTCAGAGTCTCATATCCTGCAATCCTACAAATGCAGACTCAAAAAAATCAAAGTGGGGTTTTATTTTCCTTTTTCTTTGAAGTGACCTCAAAGCAAAGGGGCAACAAAATATTAAATTTAACAACAAGCAAAAAGAGAAAAGTCATTCCAGAGGCTGCTCTCAGGAAAAAAGATTTCATTACACAACATGGCACACCGAGGGCGACCCCAGTCCGACCTCGCCTGCTCATAAAATGCACATCAGAAAACACATTTCTTTATTCCTGTCTTAGAACCGCATGAGGGCAATTTAGAGGTGAACACAGTACCATGCACAAGTCTGGACACCTGCTTGTGATGAATCTTCCTGTATGTTTACCATTTTTTCACATTTTAGAATAAAAGCTATGAAATAAAACATATAGAATTATTCAGTGACCAAAACAGTGTAAAACAAGTCCTAAAGCTTCTACCTCCATCTTCACCACACTGACTCACAAACCAACTACGGATAATTTAAATATGTTTTCCACTTCAATTTTCTAAATTTGAATTCATTTATATACATCAAATACGCTAATTATATTTGCCTTAGAAATACATTTCAAGCATCTAAGAATCGGCCTCTTATTCAGAAGTTTACATAGGTATAGTTTTCACTAGATAAAGGTGGAGGGGGCACTTTTAGAAATCCAAATTTTTGTGCCTCCTCCATGTTTAAAGTGAGCTAGATGATGCTGGGGAATCTGTAAATAGTGCAGACCTAATCTTACTGCCCAGCTTTCACAATCCAGATGATAGAATTATAACAAGCCGGACTGATAAACATCCATCTGAACTGTAGAACTGACATATGGAGCAGTGGGACACACCCATTTCCGTGGTTACACTACACCCATTTCAGCTGTTACACAAGGTCTACACCCATTTCCATGGTTACACTGGGTCTACACCCATTTCCATGGTTACACTAGGTCTACACCCATTTCCATGGTTACACTAGGTCTACACCCATTTTCGTGGTTACACTGGGTCTACACCCATTTCCATGGTTACACTAGGTCTACACCCATTTCCATGGTTACACTAGGTCTACACCCATTTCCATGGTTACAATACACCCATTTCAATGATTACACTAGGTCTACACCCATTTCCATGGTCACACTAGGTCTACACCCATTTCCATGGTCACACTGGGTCTACACCCATTTCCATAGCCACACTGGGTCTACTACCATTTCCATGGTTACACTGGGTCTACACCCATTTCTGTGGTTACACTAGGTCTACACCCATTTCCGTGGTTACACTAGGTCTACACCCGTTTCCATGGTTACACTAGGTCTACACCCATTTCTATGGTCACACTAGGTCTACACCCATTTCTATGGTTACACTATGTCTACACCCATTTCCATGGTTACACTAGGTCTACACCCATTTCCATAGTTTCATTAGGTCTACACCCATTTCCATAGTTTCATTAGGTCTACACCCATTTCCATAGTTACACTAGGTCTACACCCATTTCCATGGTTACACTAGGTCTACACCCACTGTGTTAGAAGCTGACAGACAGAAGATAAACAGACTGCAGTACAGCGTCCACCATAAAGCTTCTACGGTCTTCAGACAAACACCATCACAGAGGAGCAGAGTGTGTGTGGTGATGACTCTGAGCAGCAGTGATTCACTACACACACATACACTCAGCTAATAAACACACCAGCAACTGGACGGTCAGCCAATTCACCTCCAAAACCAGTCTGTCCTTTAGTGTGAATAGAGGACAGGGCTGTGAGGGTGGATGTACGGTGGTTACTTCTCTGATTTAAGCGTCTTCAAACAGACCTCTGAAATTGTGATGTCATTCTGTAGCCGTAGTTATGCCCATATAAGGAACTCTGTCTAAACTGTTTCATCTCCAAGGGAAAAAATCATTGAAAGCCACCGCTACCTCACCCTGTGGTCAACCAAAGTTTTTCCAAACTAGATACATTTTGCTGTATGGACATTTTCATCAGAATATAGATGTATATTTTATAAATTGTTAGTTAGTAATTGTCTGTATGGAATCTGTCCAGTATCTTCTGTTACAAGCGTCCTCCAGTGCTATGATTACTGATGATGCGCTTTGCTTCTAAATGGTATTTCAGACTTGATGTACTTCAGTGATAAACAAATTCACAGCATATCAGTGGCTGGAAATAACTGACTTTCATAACAGAGTCATAATGAAACTTACTATTTAAAAGGTCTATTTAGAGAGAAGAACAAAGCTGTGGAGTCATAGTAACAACAAAAAATAAAAATAAATAAATGAATAAATAAATAAACAGTACATTCTCAGCTCAGCTTCAGGCTGAAACGATGGATGGTTTAAAGGGTCAAACTGGGAAAATGAACTAATGGGGTTAAAAAAAATATATAAACATATTAACTTTGGCACCACTAATATTTACTTTTTCTCAGGGCTACAATGTTTACCAACACTTAAAAATAAGATGCTCTAATAAACAGCAAATTGATCATGATCTAATAATGTTTGTTAATGGCTGTTAATAACTATATAACTGTTACAAATGCATTAATAAATTAATACATAGTTTGAATTATTAACCTTTTAGGGGGTGACATTCTAATAACCGATAATTATTTTGAACGGCAGAAACTTAAATCAATAAACTACTCATAAACTTGAAATATTAAGAATTTACTCGCACTACTCATAATAATCAAATATACATCCTGTTTTAAATGATTCAGTAGTTCTGTACTGTCTTTCAAGTGATGCTTGAAAGTTTCCTTAATGATCAGTTAATCATTATTAACAGGTTAACAATGTAAACATTAATAATCATTAATTGGATCCCATTATGAAGTTGCAAATTCATATGATATCTAATAAAATATTTATGAAGATACATTGTATAACTTTTTATACTTCAATATAATGCATTTCTTTAAGTATTTGTAAGTCACTGAGTAAATCAATAAGTCAAATAATTTAAAGCACTTATTAATGCTAAGTAATAACTATATATTTATTAACTATCAACAAAGTTTTATGATGTAGTTGTTTTTATACGGGTCTCTAATTATAAAGTGTCACCTAATATTTTTACCACAACTTTTCCAGCACCAGTGCTACCTGCCAAAAAAGCTAACACTCAAAGTCAATCAGCTGCTTCCACACTTTTCCACTGTTTTACTGCAGGAGTGTCCAGCATCTGACAAGCCTAAAGGGGAATTCCACCAGATTTTTCTACATTCCCCCATAACTCAGTGTGTGAGAAGTAATCAGAGAGATTCAGGGTGGTTTGGTGTGAAATGGTTCAGATGTCTTTACAGTGGTGGTGATGGGAACCAGGGGTCGCCATGACTACAACACAGATATAGACATTTTATTTACTATCCAGAACCACCAGTGAACCTACACGAGTCTTCTGAGCTTATATGGAATGTTGATGATGGAAAATAGTGGAAAATCTGAAACAATAAGTTTTCTTTGGGGACTATTTTGCCTCACAGCGCCCTGCATGTATCCCTCCACCATGAATGGAGTTTAAGTCATAAAACAATGTCTCAGTCATCAGGCAGTGAATTCATAACCATTTCATGTAGGAACTTTCTGTGAGGGAGCTTTTAGAGGTGGACGTCTGGTTCCTATCACCACCACTGTGAACAGTTCTGACTCGGTAAGTTTCTCTAGAACAGAGCGTTTCACACCAAACCACTCTGAACCGCTCTGTTTACATTATAACTACTTAATTATGCAGAGATTTGTTTTTAAAAAATGATGGAATTCCCCTTTAAGAGCCAGTTGATTGATGGTTAAAATGGGAGAAGAACTTTCTGGAAGGCTGAGGAACAACTGGGATCAAACCTTCACCTCCAAATCTGAATCACTCATCAGGAGACTAGCTGACGTTCTAACTCCTCGTTAACATGTTCCCACAGCAGAGAACCAGACAGAGAGCACGCACTCGTGTACAGAGAGGACGACTGAAGGACGTCAGCGCTTCTATTAGCAGCATTAGCACCACATTAACAGCTCTGTCTGCGTTTCTATTACAGTAATGCACTCCTCCCGTCTCCCGGAGGAGTAATGACGCTGAAGGGAGCGAGCGAGGAGCTTTATTGCTGTGAAGAAGAGCTCATACAGATATTTTAGACATCATTGCTTCCTTCTCAGTATAATGAAAGCGCTAGTCCAGCAAGAATTATAAGACAGGTTTGGTGTCTGGTCTTCACCACAAGGAGCTACAAGGCTAACATAGCCAACAAAGCTCACTTCACCAATTCAATTACCCATAATTCAGTCTTCCAGGTGGCTGCTACTGTGTTTTGCTATGCTAATGTACTTCAGTCCATGTTTATAGACAACAGTCACACAGTGATGGAAACCACACAGGCTGCGTTCACATTACCAGGTTGAAGTGGCACAAATCTGACCTAATGTGACTCAGATCTGATGTTTTCAGAGCTGTGTGGACACACAAATCAGATTTTTTTGCCCTAATGTGACTCAGATCTGATGTTTTCAGAGCTGTGTGGACACACAAATCTGATCTTTTTGCCCTAATGTGACTCAGATCTGATGCTTTCAGAGCTGTGTGGACACACAAATCTGATTTTTTTGCCCTAATGTGACTCAGATCTGATGTTTTCAGAGCTGTGTGGACACACAAATCTGATCTTTTTGCCCTAATGTGACTCAGATCTGATGCTTTCAGAGCTGTGTGGACACACAAATCTGATTTTTTTGCCCTAATGTGACTCAGATCTGATGCTTTCAGAGCTGTGTGGACACACAAATCTGATCTTTTTGCCCTAATGTGACTCAGATCTGACGTTTTCAGAGCTGTGTGGACACACAAATCAGATCTTTTTGCCCTAATGTGACTCAGATCTGATGTTTTCAGAGCTGTGTGGACACACAAATCAGATCTTTTTGCCCTAATGTGACTCAGATCTGATGTTTTCAGAGCTGTGTGGACACACAAATCAGATTTTTTTGCCCTAATGTGACTCAGATCTGATGCTTTCAGAGCTGTGTGGACACACAAATCTGATCTTTTTGCCCTAATGTGACTCAGATCTGATGCTTTCAGAGCTGTGTGGACACACAAATCTGATCTTTTTGCACTAATGTGATTCAGATCTGATGTTTTCAGAGCTGTGTGGACACACAAATCTGATCTTTTTGCCCTAATGTGACTCAGATCTGATGCTTTCAGAGCTGTGTGGACACACAAATCAGATTTTTTTGCCCTAATGTGACTCAGATCTGATGTTTTCAGAGCTGTGTGGACACACAAATCTGATTTTTTTGCATTAATGTGACTCAGATCTGATGTTTTCAGAGCTGTGTGGACACACAAATCTGATTTTTTGCACTAATGTGACTCAGATCTGATGCTTTCAGAGCTGTGTGGACACACAAATCTGATCTTTTTGCCCTAATGTGACTCAGATCTGATGTTTTCAGAGCTGTGTGGACACACAAATCAGATCTTTTTGCACTAATGTGACTCAGATCTGATGTTTTTAGAGCTGTGTGGACACACAAATCAGATTTTTTTGCCCTAATGTGACTCAGATCTGATGTTTTCAGAGCTGTGTGGACACACAAATCAGATTTTTTTGCCCTAATGTGACTCAGATCTGATGCTTTCAGAGCTGTGTGGACACACAAATCAGATTTTTTTGCCCTAATGTGACTCAGATCTGATGCTTTCAGAGCTGTGTGGACACACAAATCAGATTTTTTTGCCCTAATGTGACTCAGATCTGATGTTTTCAGAGCTGTGTGGACACACAAATCAGACCTTTTTGCCCTAATGTGACTCAGATCTGATGCTTTCAGAGCTGTGTGGACACACAAATCTGATTTTTTTTGCCCTAATGTGACTCAGATTTGATGTTTTCAGAGCTGTGTGGACACACAAATCTGATCTTTTTGCCCTAATGTGACTCAGATCTGATGTTTTCAGAGCTGTGTGGACACACAAATCAGATCTTTTTGCCCTAATGTGACTCAGATCTGATGTTTTCAGAGCTGTGTGGACACACAAATCTGATTTTTTTGCCCTAATGTGACTCAGATCTGATGATTTCAGAGCTGTGTGGACACACAAATCTGATTTTTTTACCCTAATGTGACTCAGATCCGATGTTTTCAGAGCTGTGTGGACACACAAATCAGATTTTTTTGCCCTAATGTGACTCAGATCCGATGCTTTCAGAGCTGTGTGGACACACAAATCAGACTTTTTTGCCCTAATGTGACTCAGATCTGATGTTTTCAGAGCTGTGTGGACACACAAATCAGACTTTTTTGCCCTAATGTGACTCAGATCTGATGCTTTCAGAGCTGTGTGGACACACAAATCTGATTTTTTTACCCTAATGTGACTCAGATCCGATGTTTTCAGAGCTGTGTGGACACACAAATCAGATTTTTTTGCCCTAATGTGACTCAGATCTGATGTTTTCAGAGCTGTGTGGACACACAAATCTGATCTTTTCAAATGAAAAAATTAGATTTGAGCAATTTGGCTTGTAATGTGAACGTAGCCGTAGTCGAGTCTATAAGAGATTACTTGGCCTTGAAAAAGCTTGTAAGATTATATATTGTATTATGATTATAAATTGTTAGCGTAGTGCATAATTCACACAGGCTTTCTCAGCACAGCTGAGGAACGCGATTCGTATGATGCTACGTAACAGCTTAGTTTTGTAGGCCATGAAGTTCGGTGAGGCTGAAATTGGTGTCCTATTTGCCAGCTTCTTATACCAATTTTCCATTCTACCTTAAGTGGTGCAGCGGTCACAGGTATAAAAATGCAACTGTCACACCATTTAAGGTGGAATGGATCATTCAGAAAAGGACCTGGAGGATAAGAAGCCAACTTCATCTTTATTTGAGCTTGCACAGTGATGGAGAGATGATGAACGGCAGTACTGGAAGTCGCTGAGTGGCAGTGGTGTGTTCACCTTCATTAAGAACTCTTTTTAATTTGTGTACACTGTGTGTAACTAGACCTTTAGGGCCCATGACCACCCGTAGCCCCAGAGGCCACGAACAGGTTAAACGCCCTCGACGATGGTAACAAATTCACATTCACACCTGTCTAATAAACTGTAAAATATGGTGTATAGAGCGGTTCTAGCAGCAGGGAGCCGTTACCAAAATCAGCAGGTTCATGTGGTCGAGCTGCATATGAGCGTCTATGGGGTATTTGTGTCTCTGGGTTAATGACACTTCCTGTGGTTTTATTATCATCATCTAAGTGTCTAACTAATCATCTAACTTGTAGAACAGATGAATATTGCATTAATAAATAAATAAATAAAAGATAAATAAAGGCAGCTAAACACTGCCCCCATGAGGCAGCAACATGCTTACACACTACAGAGCAAACATTCAGGGACACTCTGCCTTTTTATTAAACACGAGTGAGTTAGCATGACTTTCAACAGACAGACAGACAGACAGACAGACAGACAGACAGACTCACCTGGGGCTTTTCAATTCCTGACAAAATATCCTGAAACTTCTTCACCTCTGTATCTTGATCTACAGGAGAGAGAGAGAGAGAGAGAGAGAGAGAGAGAGAGAGAGAGAGAGAGAGAGAGAGAGAACAGAGTGAGAGAGAGGGAGAGAGAAAGAGAGAGAGAGAGAGAACAGAGTGAGAGAGAGGGAGAGAGATAGAGAGAGAACAGAGTGAGAGAGAGAGAGAACAGAGAGAGAGAGAGAGAACAGAGAGAGAGAGAGAGAGCAGAGTAAGAGAGAGAGAGATAGAGAGAGAACAGAGTGAGAGAGAGAGAGAGAGGGAGAGAGAGAGAGAGAGAGAGAGAGAGAGAACAGAGTGAGAGAGAGAGAGAGAGAGAGAGAGAGAGAGAGAGAGTTAGATATGAATGATGTCTGATGTATGAGAAGCTGTGTGGAACGTTCCGATTCTGAACCCTCAGTCCTGACCACACCCTGTAAGCAGCAGAGGAGAAATTTTATTATGGTCAGAATGAGATGAAAATGTACAGCTTGTTGTGTGTTCAGACGTGTTTCACAGAAAGAGAAAAACACGTCCTTCACATTTTCATGTTTTGTTCACTGGTATTACAGTGTTCAGTCAGCAGAGGGCAGCGTTACACCACAAAACCAAACACTACATTTAAAACAGACGAAGGAAAACAAGTAAAAACTAAACTCAGTCAAAAACATTCTTCTGTCACAGATGTTCGAAAGCCGTTGGAAACATGGTTTGAAGAGAACAGAAAAACATTCCAGGGAAACAGTAAACATGCGGAAACGCCGCAGAGAAACCCTGAAAAACGATAAATTACGCTGTTCCTCAGTAAAACCACAGAGACCAGTCAGAGCACAGTCTGACCTTCACACCATCAACACAGTGAATCACAGCAAAAACAGCCCCAATCAAAACCTCAGGAGGACATGAGTGTGGAATCTGTCAATGTGATTGGAATTGATCGGAAACTACTAATTCCCATTCTAAATATGTACATCAGAATCACACGGAACAACTTACACTGCAAATATGACTGTAATTGGGCAGAATCTACCAGCTTACGCAATAAATATGTGAATAAAATCATTCAGAATCTATAGATTTCCACTCCAAACGAGATTGGAATCTTCCAAAATCCGTGATCGGAATTGGAATCGGAATCAGAATCAGAATTGGCTTCTTCAAAAATCTGTGAATCATCCAGAATCTGTGATAAATGTGATCGGAATTGTCCGGAGTCGGCCGATTCTCACTGCATATACAGTTCTGTACAAGAACAAACACAAATAAACACTGTGGTAAAAAAAGTCTGGTTCCAGGTTTCTCCTCCAGCACCGCACGGATTTATTGAACTCCATCAGCAGCTCCTGGAGACGACAGGAAATACACACAGTGAAACATAAAATCACTATTCAATATATTAATGTTATTTGTATTTATTCTAATGGTGTTTCTGGAAAAAATAAATACTCACTGCCCAGATAAACAGCACAGTTCTGTATGCGATCAAAATCATCCAGAATCTATCAACTGTCCTGCATAACTATGGAATCGGAATGTAACATATGTCTACATGTCCAACATACATCACAGAGTCCATCACAGGAACGCTCAGTGTAAATAATGCAGTTATCAGACTCGCTCCAGTGACTGGATCGGCCTTCAGGTGCCGAGAGCTTTTACAGAGCTGGAGAATCTGCTTTTAGCTACAGAACCAGTGAGCTGGACTTCATCACAGGAAACTCTAAAGCTTCGCTCTCTGGTGTCACATTAACACCTCCGATCAGCCCGACACTGCTTTATTTGGTTTTACTGAACTTTTAATATGACTTTTGGTATGTTTTAGTTATTGTTTTACTTTTTACTTTTGTTTACTTTTGTACTTTTATTTATTTACTTTTTATCATTTTTTGTTTCTTTTATTAGTATTCTTTTATTTATTTTATTATTGTCAATTTATTTCTTTTATTTCATTAATTGATTGTTTCTTATCCTTATCTGCTCCGTTACTTGATAAGTTACCATATTGTAATTTTAATCGTTTATTGATTTAGCGGTTTATTGGTAGTTTATTCTTATTAATAAATTTTACTATTATGATTTTTATTATTTCATTATAATCTTTGATTTATTATTTTTTACTGCACAACTTCTCAATCCCTGATTCCTGTATTACTCGCCTACACTGTAAATGAGGGTCTACCTCAATGTATTCCGAGTTTAAATAAAGGTTGATTGATTGATTGATTGATTGAAAATATCCAGACAGTCCTTCTAATGAGTTAATTCAGTTACTTTAAAGTGTTTGTATAATCACTAAAGAAAAGCACTGACCAATAGAATGGGATGCACGTGATCCTAAGGTCTCCATGTCCAGTGCCCAGTGTGGGCTAGAGGGGTATAAAGCCCCCCAGCATTGGGCTGTGGAGCAGTGGAACTGTGTTCTCTGGAGTGATGGAGCTCCATCCAGTACCTTTGGGATGAGCTGGAGTGATCCAGAACTGACCATCCAACATCAGTACCTGACCTCACTAATGCTCAATCAAATCCTCACAGCAATGTTCAACATCTAGAAGGTCTTCCCAGAAGAGTCGAGGCTGTTACTGCAGCACAGACTCACTATTAACACCATTTCAGAGGAAATGCTTTGGAAGCAGAGATGGTGACTTGAGTCGCACCTCAGAGACTCAAGACTTGACTCAGACACTCCAGACTAACTCGGACACTCAGCTTAGAGACTCAAGACTCGACTTAGACTCACCTCAGAGACTGGACCCGAACTCAAAACTCAGAGACTTGAGACTCGACTTAGATTCGCACCTCAGAGACTCGAGACTCGACTCAGGCTCACGCCTCAGGGACTCAAGACAGGCCTCGGTCTCACACCTCAGAGACTTGAGAAAGGACTCGGACTCACACCTCAGAGACTTAAGAAAGGACTTGGACTCACACCTCAGAGAATTGAGACAGGACTCGGACTCACACCTCAGAGACTCGAGACAGGACTCGGATTCACACTTCAGAGACTTGAGACAGGACTCAGACTCACACCTCAGAGACTCAAGACTCGACTCAGGCTCACACCTCAGAGACTCGAGACAGGACTCGGACTCACACCTCAGAGACTCAAGACTCGACTCGGAGTGTCATGAATCAACTTGTGAACGTCTGTGGAACTACCACTCCTCTCAGAGGCTGGCTTTCCACGGTTTGACTCCAGGTTCAACCCTTAAAGCCCTAGAGAACCTAAAGCCATGCTGTTCTTCTGGTAGGTTCCTCGTTCTCGTGAGAACACAGTACACGGGTACAAAGTATGTCCGGTGAATAATGATGGATTCACCAAAGTTCTCCTCGTTGTAAACAGCGGAACAGCTGTTCTTTTCAAACGTATGTTCTAGTGCAAGCATTTGTCACTTGGAGACTTCCTCTCTTTTCAGTACCTCAGTGCTGCGATAAAAGGAACACCACAGATTTAACTACACACAGAAAATGGTTCTTTGAGGGTTCTTTAGTAAAGACAATGGCTCTCTATAGAACCATTAACACTCAAAGAACCATTTGCATGATTGAATGGTTCTTTGCATGGTGAAATAGTTCTTTAGATTGATGGAGAATGTGTTGTATATGGTTGTACATAGAACCTTTCTGAAAGGGTTCTATGTAGAACCAAATTGTTCTTCAATTGTAACAAGCTTGACATCGTAACAATAGCAGAATCATATACAACATATTCTCCATCAGTCTGAAGAACCATTTCATGAACCCTTTAAGCATGCACATGGTTACCTGAGTGTCTATGGTTCTGTACAGAACCACTGTCCTTACTAAAGAACCCTTGAAGAACCAGTATGAGGGTGTATAAACAATTTATAGACCACCTAAATACTCTATAGACTTTATTTATCAATTTACTGAGCTGCAAACTACAGAGCCCTGCTGGTGACATCCCATGTAAATAAAAATAATGTGTGGCCACGACTTAGTAAGGTGTGGAAATCAGATAATTAAGTTGTGGCCATAACTTGGTAAGCTGTGGGAATGAAATTATAATGTGTGGCCATGCCTTAGTAAAGTGTGGGAATGAGATAATTAAGTTGTGGCCATGACTCGGTAAGGTGTGGGAATGAGATCCTAATGCGTGGCAACAACTCAGTAAGGCGTGAGAATGAGATAATTAAGTCGTAGTCATGACTTGGTAAGGTGTGGGAATGAGATCCTAATGCGTGGCCATGACTTAGTAAAGTGTAGGAATGAGATCCTAATGCGTGGCAACAACTCAGTAAGGCGTGAGAATGAGATAATTAAGTTGTAGTCATGACTTGGTAAGGTATGGGAATGAAATCATAATGCATGGCCATGACTTAGTAAGGTGTGGGAATGAGATAATTAAGTTGTAGTCATGACTTGGTAAGGTCTGGGAATGAGATCCTAATGCGTGGCCATGACCTGGTAAAGTGTGGGAATGAGATCCTAATGCGTGGCAACAACTCAGTAAGGCGTGAGAATGAGATAATTAAGTTGTAGTCATGACTTGGTAAGGTGTGGGAATGAGATCCTAATGCGTGGCCATGACTTAGTAAAGCATGAGAATGGGGCAATTAAGTCGTGAGAACGAGATAATTTACTGAGAAACAGATCAAAGATCTCAGTATCTCTGAACACTTCTGTCTTTTTAACACTGTGACTGTTCAAACACTGCTGAGAACACTAGGGAGCAGAGCTGGACCCAAATATTCGATTATTCGTTTGTTGATTAGATATTCAGTTTTTCATGTTGAGATTTGATGTTCTTTTTTTCAGCTATCAGTAAAGACAAACTGCACTGTTAGTAATAAAGGTTCTGTTCAGGTACATTTCTGTTCATCGAGGTACAAACAGTGTAAATGTTCCCTCAAAGCTCCAACAGTGGTTTTAAGGTCTGATTGTGAACCTTAAATAAGTGTTTCCAGGTGAAAAGTTCGTATTTGTACCTTTTCATAACCGAATGTTTTAAACAGAACAGTAAAATAAAAGCCTGGAGACGAGACGGGGTGTGTGGAGTCAGTACAGC